GGGGACGCAGACGAAGGTGGTAGACTTTTAAGGGATAATTAAGCCCGATTTAAATTTTAACAGCACCCACCGAGGAGGGATGGTTGGGGTCTATGTGTTAGGTGGTTATCTATTACGTTCTTCCTCCTTATATCTATCCTCCCTCCCTATCTCTCCTTACACCCTTCTTACCTCCCACCCTCCTTCTCTACCCCATGTCCTACCTTCCTCTCTCCCACATCAATCCCTCCCTCCTTTCTTCTTCCCTTCCTTCCTTCCTTTCTTCCCTCCCACCCTCCTTCTTTACCCTCTCCTTTCTTCCTCCTTCTCTCCCCCCCCCCTCTCTCCTGGAAGTGGGAAAGTTAATCTCTTTCCTTTTCTATTATTCCCAGGCTTTGTTCGTCCTGGGAGTAGTCTACTGAAGCGACCATTGTTGAGGGTAACTGCTGCTGTTTTTTCCCTCGGATACGGAAGTGTGTGTGTGTGTGTGTGTGGTATATATGTATGTACAGTATATATATATGTATGTATGTATGTAACGTACGTATGCATGTATGTATATATGTATGCCAGTGAGAGTGTGTACGTAACCTCCAGCACATGGGTGTGGCTGTATATAAACGCACACCCGCAAACCCCCCTCCCGTTAACAGGATAGATATATACGCCTTTCTTGCACCACTCCCTTCCGACTTTCATTGAATTAGCGCCGTACTTCCTGCTGGAGCTACGACAAGAGAAGGGGTTAATTCGTGATCGTAAAGAGTTGCGTCACTTTACCCTACAACACAATGCAGAAGGTGACGACGCGTTGTTAATAATCGTGTTGACAAAAAAAAAAGGTTTTCCTGAACGAGTGTGACTGACTTGAGGGCTAGAAGGTCACATGTGGTTATTCCATGATTTTTCCTGTGTGAATTTTTTTATTTTCAAGATGAGATTCTTTTTAAGTATTTTGTTGTTTGTTGTTATTATTGCTATTTCTTCTTATTATTATTATTAGTAGTAGTCGCTCTAATTATCCTCATTACCTTTAGTTAATTAGATTATTAATGTGTATAATAATCTAATTAACTATTCTTACCTATTGATTAATTATAACACTTATATAGGTAACAAAGTCCGTTATATCGAGGGTACGTTAAATGTGACCCCCCCCATGTAACGGATTATATACAGAGAGAAGTCCGTTATATGTAGGTTTTACTGTTAATTAATTCCAGGTGGTTATTGAGTGTATCCCAACATCACACACACTTTCTACCTGAGTTATAACAGGTGTGATTGTCATCCCGGGCAGACAGACAGACAGACTGAAAGACACATAGAAAGATAGACAGACACATACACCTGTTCTTGTTATCGAGTTTACCTGTGTTAACGAACTGGGTTGTAACAGGAGTATGATATAGGACAGACAGACAGACAGACATATAGACAAACAGACACACAGACAGAAAGACTCATAGATAGACACAGACAGATAGACAGACAGACATACTTGTTCTTGTTGTCGAGTTTACCTGTGTTGACGAACTGTGTATGTATGTATGTACCGGGTATGTGAGTATGTACTGTATGTATGTATGTATGTATGTATGTATGTATGTAAGAAAGGGAGGTCGTCAAGCAGAGTGAGTTACCGTGGAAAGTGCAGTGTGAGCTAACTACCTGCGTCACGAGAGAACCTACTGCATAATCACACTTATTACTGCTTGCTTTCATCCCCCCATCCATCTATCCATCCACCCATCTATCTATCCACCTGCCCAGCCCTCCATCCAAGTCTCTTTTCATCTATCCAGCCCCCCATCCAAGCCTCCCTCTATCTATCCATTCATCCAGCCATCCATCTTCTTCCTTACCCCTTCCGTCCCTATTTCTTCCTTCCCCCCTCCATTCTCCTCTCCTCATCCCCTGCTCCCTCTCCCCCTTCCCTTAACCCCAGTATTCCTATATCGTTATATCCTCTCCCTCCTCCTCCCCTCTCCACCAGTAAACACAAGGAGGGGTGAAATAAGCCACCAGGACCCACTCACACACCTGTGTTCTCAGTGGTTACCAACATATGGTCCGTGGCCAGACAGGTAAACTCTACTGTAGACACTATATGGGTTAAAGAACCACAATATTACTTTACCATCTGTTGTCTCTACCTACCTACCGTTGTCTGTATGTCTGTTTGTTTATTTGTCTGTTTCTTTTTATCTGCCTTTGTTGTCTCTGTTTGCTTATCTGTCTTTGTTGTCTCTGTTGTATCTGTCTTTGTCGTCTCTGTTTCTGTCTCTCTCTTAAGACGCTCCTCCTCTTCACTATACCCAGGCATCTTCCAAGTCACACACGGCTTAATCATGAATGAAAGTCCCTTAAACCAAGGTCAACTGTAAGTGCGTGTGTGTCAAGGACTTATGCTCAAGTGTATCTCCTGGATAACCTTAACCCACTTGAGTCAATGTTATGAAATGAGTTTTATTATTATTATTATTATTGGTGGTGGTAGTAATAGTAGTAGTAGTTGTTGTTGTTGTTGTTGTATTATTATTTTTTTAAGCTTAAATTAAATTTTCACCTTTATAAGCCATTTTTTTCTTCGTTTTAAATTTAATAATACGACCGGAGGACTCGGGGTGAAGACGCAAGGAGGAGAGCGGAAAGATGGGATGTTGAGGTAGACCGCAATAATGAAGCCGATCATCACAACCAAGAGAGACTTTCCACCGTGAATATTTAAACCACTCACGCCCTCATATACATTGGCCGGGTGGTGGTGGGTGGGTGGGGTGGGCGGGTGTGAGTGGGTGGGGTGGGCGTAGTGGGGGCGGGTGGGTGTGGGCGAGGGTGGGGAGGGGAAACTGTGTAATAGATATTGGTTTATTTACTATTTCTCTTCTCTTTATCATAACAACGCCAGGACGAGCAGAAGGTAATGCCTGGCGTTCTTTTTTCATCCAGGGGTGAAATATGGGAAAAGGGGGAGAAGGGTAAAGGGAATAGGAAGCAGAGTAGGGAAAACAATAGGTAAGAGGAGATGAAAGGGCTTAAAAGGGGGGAGGGGAGGGGAGGTATTTGGTGTTACTGGCCTATAGTGGGGAGAAATTCTGACTAAACCATATGGTGTCCCTCCCCTCCCCACATTCCCCCTCCCCTCATTCTCTTCTCTCTCCCTTCCTCACACCCCCTATCCTTCATACACTATTCCCTCGTCTCCCCTTCCCTTCAGTCACTACCCCTTCCACCCCTCCCCTCCTCTTCCAACCTTACTGTACACCCGTTCCTCCTTCCATGACAACTCACCAACATTCATTTCTTTCACAGCCAAACATAAATCACACCTGTTGAAAGTAAACACACGGTGAGATAATTAACGTTTTACATAGGTGACTATAATACCTGGAGGCGTTTCACTCACCCACAGGAACAACAAGTACAGGTGTAAGGCGGTGTAGGCAACAGGTGTACAGTAATACAGGTGTGAGGCGGTGTAAGCAACAGGTGTAGTACAAGTGTGAGGCGGTGTAAGCAACAGGTGTAGTACAGGTGTGAAGTAATGTAAGCAACAGGTGTAGTACAGGTGTGAGGCAGTGTAGGCGACAGGTGTAGTACAGGTGTGAGGCGGTGTAAGCAACAGGTGTAGTACAGGTGTGAGGCAATGAAGGCGACAGGTGTAGTACAGGTAAAAGTTATATAAATCCTTGTCACTTTCATAGTAATATATAAGTTAATATTAGAGTTATTATAAGGTGTTGAAAATTAGTCACATATACAGTATTGGGTTGACCACCACCACTACTATCACCCTCACCACTATTACCAACAACAACAAGTGAAAACATAACCCGGGGAGGAATCGAGGTGTGCCCCAGGGTGATGTGTGACCACTTGGCTCCAGCGATATTTGAGGTTATTTTCAGTTGACTCATTGTTCTCACTACAGCCATCTATCGAGTTAACTTTCATTAGTTTATTACCAAGATTAACTCTCTGGTGAGTCTATTTAGTACTTATAATTGTGAGTATTACAGAGGATGTCTAAATTTATGTTCTATACTGCGGATGAAGAAAGTGAGTGTGTGTGTGTGTCGTATAGCACTTTCTTATCACTTTCTAAGCTTATCGTGCATATAGAGGGACAGTGTTATGAATCTACAGTGGTTGTTATAAATGTAAAGTCAATTGTTGAAGTCCATTCACTTCTCCCCCTGAACCACGAACCCCAAGATTCAGACTCATGAACCGTAAGCATTTATGGACAGAATAATGTATCACTCTACTGCTTCAGGTTCACGAGTGTGAATCTTGGAGTTCGGTTCAAGGGGAGAGGCAAACGGACTTTAGTAGTTGACACTGTTATGGGATGACAATAACACAGTGAAGGTTCTATATTACCGTAACAATAAGCTGGCCACTCCACCACCACCCACCAACTGGCAGTGATACACCACCACTTGATCACCTTCGTCAGGAGCCATATGTGGCACAGCAGCTGTGAAGGTAAACAGACGACTCTACCATTTATTACTGTTTACGACTGAAGATAAATTCCCAACCTGAAAGTCATGTTTGTGTTGACATGTTTGTTAAAGTGTGTAATAATGTGTGGGTGTTGTGTGTGGGTGTTGTGTATGTGTAATAATGCATGTATGTGTGTGTGTGTTACTATAAAGGGGATTTTGGGAGGCGCTTGATGGGTGGGGGGGAGTCGGGATCAAGACTGACTATAGACTGGAGACCCGACATCTTCCTCCATTTAGGGAACTGATAGAAGTTGATACATAATTATTTACATGAAAGTCTGTCATATCGAGGGTCTGTGATGTGAATCCCTTCCCCCATCATCTAAAGGATTATATAGATAAAGAAGTCCGCTATATGGAGGTATCACTGTAGATCAATATCTAAACAAAGTAATCAATGTCAACAAAACATCAAACTGTACTTTTTTCTCTCTACCTAACTCGCAGGTGGGTAATTCATCATTCAGCAAATCATTACTGTTATTTTTTTCTCTCCTGAACTCACAGGTGGGTTCACCATCTTCGCGCCGTCAGACTCTGCCTTCACGCTGCTGCCTCGCTCGGTCGTGTCTCGGTTGCAGAACAACACGGATAAGTTGAGGGAGGTCGTTCTGTTCCACGTGATCCCCGGCGTCATCAGGATCGACGACCTCACTAACAATGACATGCTGAATTCAGCCTCACCCAAGGGACGCAAGCTGAGGGTCAATGTCTTCAGAAATGGTGGACCAAAAGACCAGGTAAATAGAATAGGGTAATGGGAGATGGGGGTGGGATAATACCAGTCTTGTGGGGTAACCTTATGGGATACTGTACCAGGCTTGTAGGATGCTAGTCTTGTAGGATACCAGTCTTGTGGGTTAACCATGTAGGATACTGTACCAGGCTCGTAGGATACTGTACCAGCCTTGTGGGTTAACCTTGTAGGATACCAGCTTCGTTGGACTCCCAGGACATGATACAAACAGCCTGGTATGGTAGCAGCTTTCCTTAGTGGTGGGTACCTTAAATTCCGGTGGTGTAGTGGGACGATCAAAGAAATAGCATACAATATACAGATAAAGACCAACTGAGAGAAAGGGAGAGAGAGGCTATCATCTTGACTGAGGCTGGCTTGTGTCCCACGTGCAGGTGGTAACAGTGAATGGGGCGCGGATCAAGAGACACGACATGCTGGCCACCAATGGTGTCATCCACGTCATCGACCGAGTCCTCTACCCCATGGCTGACCTGTCCATTGTCGACCACCTCAGTACCTGCGAGACGTTTACAGGTATGGCATACACACATACTGTACAAACACAGTCTTTTTCCCACACACACACTCTTTCTCTACCTCTCTGTGTCTTTTTATATACATGCCAGTTTATTTCACCTGATGATTAGATACCCTAGCTTATTTCACCTGAAATTAAACAAGTTGAAGCTCACCTCACCCTCCCTCCAGATAGGGTTAGGGTGGTTAATCTTCAGGTGAGATAAGCTAGGATGTCTAATCTTCAGGTGAGATAAGCTAGGATGTCTAATTTTCAGGTGATCTGCATTTTTGACTGACATAGATGATGCAATATTTCCCAGATTGTCAGTTTTATCAGTCCTCTGTTTTCAGTTAAAAGCCTTACTGTAATTTCATAACTTATAAACAAGATTCATAATCCGAGTGTTAACAAATTAGGAATTCGTGTAATGTGTAACTGGTGACTAACTCTGCCTATCTAAGATTGTTGTTGGACAGTTTATTAACTATGACAGACTACTGACAGACAGACAAACAAGACAAGACAGTGGGCTAAGTGCAGAGCGCCTACCAGTACTGTATACTTCTCCCAAGGGTAAGAGTAGGAGGTGGAGGTCAAAAGTAAGTGATTTTGTGACTGACATTATTTGGAGGAAGACCTTTATTGGAGGAAAACCTTGACTGGAGGAGGACCTTGTTGCTTCCATCACTAATGGGTGGAAGTTTTCTAAGCTTGGGGGAGAATGTAAATACTGTATTTAATCTCTATGTGTTATTGGGAGTGTGAAGGTGTTTCAGTTACCTTTGTGGTACAGGTGAGGTAATTAATCTCCTTTTTTTGGTATATTTGGACACGTATTTATACAGACACAAACAAACACACACATGCATACACACATCTAAAAGTAATGACATTCCCTTTATGACCTTGATATAGTACCACTAAATGACCCTCCTGACTGTACCACTACCACCTGGGACACCACTGATAAGCTACTAACTTTCCTCGACACCTTGGTATAAAACTAACAGGAAATTAAGGACAATCTCTCATAAGACATGGTTTCAGATGTTCACTCAACACCAATAAGAATCAATAACTTCAACCAATAATTTGTCTAACCATTCGACAGGTGCAAACGTGGCAGTAACGGGTGCTGGTCTCACGCCAGTACTGGAGCAAGATGGACCATTCACGGTCTTTCTCCCAACAACGGATGCCTTCGCAGCCATCGACAATGCTACCGTGTCCAGCTTCATCCAGAACATCACCCTGTTGCAGCGTAAGTCTGGGTTTCATGAATGTGATTTGGATGAAAGGGAAAAGTGGACAAAGAATTACAGAAATTAACTTTATTCTTGAGTGAGCATTTTTTTTCTAATTTCATATGAATCTGTAAGTTAAATGCATTTGGTTCAAGGGAAAAGGTGAATGCAAGTTAGGAGTATTAGTCAGTGTTATCCATCCCTCTAAAGACTTCTGTAAACACATGTTCATTGCACAGTTGATTACCCTTATCAATTTTGACCTTGGTTGTGGGATCAGCTGTGCAATTAATGGGCCAAGTTGCTATAATGTTCTTTCAATTTCTTACCTCAAAATAACTACCGTAATTTGACATGACCTGCAAGTGAGGTCATAACTGAACTAAAGCTGGCAAAGCTGACTTGATGGTTCCCCACAGATGTACTCATGTATCACATAGTCCCCGGCGCCTACTTCAGTGAGGGTCTGAGGGACGGCATGTGGCTCCCTACCCTCGCCCAGGAGCAGGAGCTTCAGGTTCGCATCACCACTGACGGATACTCAAGTGAGTAAAGTAAAGTTCGATATTTGTGTTTATGTTTGTAATGTTCGTCATTTCAATATTTTGCCAAGTACAGGTTGCTGTATTGTATTTATTAAAATAAGATAATAATGTTTTTGTTACAGGTGTTGAAGCCATAGTATGGTTAGGGTAGATCAGGTTAGGTTTATACTGAACTGGTGATGAAATGTCCTAAAGCCAGTGAGGATCCATCATTACATTAATGGCTCTTAGTTTTCACTGGAGGAGATAATTGGCTCTTATAATTTAACTCATATTCAAATTTGTTTACTACACCATGATACTGTAGTACCATTGTATAACTAAAACCATCTCTTTTCCACAGATCGTTTGGCTGGCGTCGGACACACAGCCCGGGTCATTAAGCATGACATCATCGCCACTAATGGTGTCATACACGTCATAGACACTGTGTTGAGGCCAGAGACAGAAACACCAATATGTGGTCACTTCTAGCAGGAACATGACCGAGTAGGTCATTTCGTGGACTCAGGACTGGTGCAGTCCCCAACCAGCTGTGCTCATCATGATCTACACACTGACTACTCAACAAGATGCTGTAAGTGTTCATAACTGTAGATTATGTACAGTACTGTAGTGATTTGTAGGATTACTGTACTCTGTGGGGTTAAGAATTACATTAGTTAGATTTTTTCCCCAAATTAAGTTTATCAGCATCTGTTGGGTTTCAGTAAAAGCATTTCTAGTATGGTGATACAAACCCCAGGGATGAGCAGAGCTAATGTGGGCTCCCATGTGTTTTTACTTTGTTATGTATTTCATTTAAAAAACCAATTTAAAGAAAATGATTGTGGATCCTGCATGAACGCTTAGGGCTTGGACTATACCAGGCAGGTCCAGGAACATGTACTGAGCTCTGAAATGAATGCCATATATGTGTAACTTTCGCCTTTACTTGATGTTACCATGATACTGTGTGAATGTAGGTGACTGAGGTGTACATACCTTTTGTAATTGTAAAATATTCTAGTTTGTGAGTGCGTGACTCCAGCCAGAGCTTTACACTGTGTCTGCCACTCTCAACGGACACCTTACGTTTATATATTTTATAATTTAAAGCATTAATATATTTTCTCTATTTAATAAGTTCACCTGAAGGCCTTTGTCTTGAGGTTGATTCAGTGCATAAAGGATTGGATAAAATATTTGTACTTTGTTGTTATTTTCAAGTACTATACAGGTATATAAAATTTTTACCAGTACAGTAGTGTTATATAGTTAAGATAAGTGCCCTGTTATCAAGTGTACAGAAGTAAGCTTAAATCTTCCAGATTGTGATGCACGAACTACGTATGTCATAATCTAGTTTACAGTACAGTACATATACACATAAAACACTAACAATTGTTGACTCTGTCATGCTAATTAGAATCTATTCACAGTACAGCTGTTCCTCACAGATTTCTCTGCCTCTCACTGAATTCACAGGCAGATTATTAAAAAAATTTAACAACAAAAAATCGTAAATAAAGTGGATGGGTTTGCACGTAAACAGTTGAGTAAAAATCACAAAGAATGGCAGTGATGCAGTCATGTGCATGGTGTATGTCAGCTGTCACAAAGTTGTAATGTAATTTGCCAGTCTTGAAAATGTGCTTATGACTTTGAAATGCAAGATAAATTATGCAGTGTACAAGATTGAACTGAGGTAGCATTATGTTCTGCAAATTAGTTTTTGAGGTTTCAAGTACAGTACATAAAAAATATAGTGTAACTGTATTCATTCTAACAATTAATCTACTGACTGTACTTTACATATATTTCTCTGGAGTACAATGACCAACAATAGGTCTAGTGGAAGGGGTTTGGAACACATCCCCTTATTTTCCAGTAATGCAATAATTCATAAATGCCACGATTCTCGGAACACATCTTTCGGTACATGCAAGGGACAACTGTACTGTATATACAAGTTGATCAAGAAAATATTCAGAGCAAATTTGGGTTACGAGAGATTACCAACATGTTGATCTTCCAGACACACAGGTCTTAATGTTTTTATGGTAATAGATTATTTAGAGCTCCCAGATCATCCTAAAATTTCTCCCTTCCTCTAATCCACAATCTAGTGAAATGTTTGGCTAACTGTTTTAAAATTTGTTCAGTTTATATGTACAGGATTTTCCTTGATTTTTTTGTTGACTAACTCACTTATGTGGGTATGACAGTCAAATGAAGTTCATTGTAATTTTTTTGTTTATTAGGTAGTTTATGAAGTGGGTGGGACTCACACCTTTCCCACAGTCCACTCTCCCCCTGTACAATATTCATTACGATAAGGATGTGTTACCAGGAGAGATACGTCGAGTCACAGGTCACATTTCAACTTTTAAAAAATTATAATATTTACCTTCTAAAGTACAAAAGTATCTGTACAAGGTCTTCTTAATGTTACTAATGTTATCAAGATCCCTCTACATGCAGTCTTGTACTAATCAGCAAATTAAATTTTATATTCACTCTGTTAAGATTCTTTCAATGTATCTAAGGTTAGATTTCCCTTTGAACTATGATAATGCTGGTGATTTGTATACCAATGCTCTCAAAAGGTAATTTCTTTACCGACACCCAAGATAAAACAACAGCTTTTCCAATATTATGTACAGTACAGTAAAAATTCTTGCATTATATTACTACCAAGAGTATAATTCGCAACAAGAAGTCAGATATGTATATGGCCAGTTTGGTAAAATAAGCCGGCCACATTTGCAAGCATGGAAGATGGTTGTAAAATGTTGATGTTTATTTACAAAGGTTACATTGCTAGAACAACTTGTGAGTGTAGAATCCAAACCCAATGTTGAATGGCCCCGGTAAACCCAACAAGTGAGTGAGATTTGGGGGGATGCTTTACACCATCAACCAGCAAGAAGGTGATATTTGCTCAACTGTCAATAATATGAAAAGATAAAGACTGGGCCCACTTGACCTATTGTAGAACCCATCATAGGACAGCACTGCAACATAATCATATACCTGTACTTAGCTACGAGGATCTTGATCTACTAACAATAAGATCATAGTCTTATTTTACAGTAAAACCTCCATATAACGGACTTCTCTGTGTGTTTAATCCGTCAGATGAGGGTATCACATCCAACAGGCCCTCGATACAATGGACTTTCATCTCTATATAATCCGTTAAATAGAGGTTTCACTGTACTGTCAAATCCTTTTATTGTTTTGTTTTTTTATGATTCCTAATAGATAAATTTTCTATTAATTTACTGTTGTTTACCTTATTAGTACATTTGTCATAATTTTATACCTAGGAACTCACAAAAATTTATGTTGAATTAACTTCTTCTGTACAGTATTGTAATATTGTACAGTATTCCACTCTAATTTTTCTCATTTTCTCCCTAGTTTATGTAATCCTTCACCCATCCTATGTAATAATGAGTAGAACAAGATTTTTCATTATTGTATTCTCTAGTCTTATAAATATGCAGAGGAATAATTGCTCTTGTCAATTAAAACAGCTGAAGTACAAGATTTTGGTCCAGGTAATTCATCTATCCTTCATAACAAAACAGAAATCATTTAATCTATCTAAAAACAAGTTTGCTGAACATTGATTCATCTTGTTTCTGTGTTCATTATAAGTGATTTCCTAACCTAACCTGCAAAGATCAATCAAAACTGCTTACTACAAGTACAACTGCAAGTGACTTAAGTTACTTTGTACTAACAATGTATTCAGCTGTAACCATCCACAATATATTACCTGTCATGTACTGTTGTATAAGTATTTTAATTTGTATTAGAAACATGGCACTTTTGTAAATGATTTATTATTACAAATAAATATAAAAAGTGGATTCCGATAAACCTTCCCGTTACTCCACACTTTTTTGCAAGAACCAACATTAATCTGTCCTTGGGCAGCGAGTCAAATCCACAGTGTCTACATGCAGTACTGTGACCAACGACGCGCTAATATCACAGTTTTGGTTCATGTTACGTAAGGGGCGAAGCACAACAGTGGGTCTAGAGTAAATATTTACCTTACACGACAGAAAATCGACAAAGATGTTTCAAATAACCAGCTAAGAGGAAAATCCGTTATTTGTGAAACGCCCCAACTAACAGATTATAAGGAGAGAGAAGTCTGTTATATAGAAGTTTCAGTGTATATATAAAGGTTTTATGAACTGTCTTAACCATTTGGACAATACTCATACTGAGAGAACAAAAAAGTCATTAAAACTTCACAATTAATGTGTAAAGTAGAGGTTATCCTATCTGTAGAAAACACAAGAGCTATCTTAACTTGTAAGATATTGTGATTTTCTGAGTATTTGTACAAATTCTGGTAGCAAAACAAATAGCAGAAATAGTTTATGTACTGTACTTTTATAAATAAACTTCCCAAACTATCACCTCTCAGTCAGTCATACAGTACACTATTATCTGGACATAGATTTTATACATCACTTCTTAAGGTATTACAGACAATATATAAAAAACAACATTGATGTCACTGTCATTATATTGTTAAATATTGTCCCTATAGAAGAGACGGATTTTGGTGATGATCTGACGACCATTATGCCTCGTATACACCAAGGACTACCCACATTATCACAATATAAAGCAAATACAAAAAATTCCCCCATTGATAATCCTTACTACACAACACTATCTTTAAGACATATTTCTTCTCAAAATACTGTATAATGAAAGGTCGATTTAACGGATTATATCGAGAGGAAATTCTGTTATATAGAAGGTCCGTTAGATGTGAAACCTCCATCTATTGAACTATATAAGAGTCAAAGTCTGTTATATCAAGGGTCCATTAGATGTAAAAACCCTCCACTTAATGGTTTATATGGAGAGAGAAGTCTGTTATCTGAAGGTTTCACTGTACAATATTGGCCACCATTAAAGGATTCATTCATCTGAAGTTGTACTGGGTCTTTCATTTAAGTAAACAGGTTAACATTTCACAACTTTTATTGCCACGGCACTATTATTAAACTTGAATACGAAAACTTCCTTCCAATTTTAAAATAATATAGTACACCGATTCCTTAAAATATTTACTCAATCAACCAGATTTGCATAAAGCATATCATTCAATAAGCCCCTTGACTTGAAAACATTAGTTACCCCCCCCCCCCCAACTGTTCTCTTGACTCACGTAAGGAGTCTAACCAGCTAGGAAGAGACGGTTAACGTGAAAAATAAAACTCCAGCAAAAGAAAAATACCTTTTTTTTTCTCTCTATAAGTGTACTGTACATGCACTGGGACTTGACTAAATTAACACTGCACTTAAACCTTTCATCACGGGGATACCACTTTTGTTATTTTATTCAGCACACAGGGGACCCCGTACACAAGGAGTTAATAGTGCAAAATCGATTCAAATATGCACTAATTTATCCAAATTCAAATGACCCAAGAACTGTGAGGAACAGCTATATGTTATGTTCATTGCTCTACAACCATCTGGGCTGCAAAACACAAGACCTAACCACTGTACTGTACACTTCATCAACACATATTTTGCTGAAGTGATTAATAACCCCATTTAATCTTAAAAAAAATAGTACTGTACATCAAAAGATGACAAGGAGACAATTTTTAACAAACACCCATACCGTATAAGCTCAGATCACTGCAATTACAATGCTGTTTCCTTGATATCTGCAGAACAGTAGTCACCTTTACACCTAGATCACAGTGATGCTTCATTTGTTCATGTGAGTTACATTGTATAACACTCATGGCTTCAACCTTCTTTAAACTGAAGGTACGACTGCAGTTTACTCTGGCATTCTGCTGATACCGGCATCGCCCTGTGGAGCAAATAACTTTATTACTGACTCACCATTGAGAAGTGAGAGGGAAAAGAAGGTGCTTAACCACAATTGTTAAGTAAAAACATTTCAAGTAAAGAAAGAGACAGAAAAAAGAAGTACAGTATGTGAAAGCAGCATTGACTCTCACCTCACAGTTAAGAAGTGATACCTCTTGTGAGAGGAAAATAGGAGTTATTACAAGTCCAAAGAACATGAGCACATCTTATAATGTAGTTGTTATTTGCAAGAAACAAGCTGGATGCAACATAAACAGAAAGTGTACTATGTGGAAGATATTACATATGCAAACCATCTAGCTGCAGTGGGAGTCAAGATTAAAAACTCGGAGCCTTTATGTTACTGTCACTGGACGAGGATTGTGTTTTATACCTAGAGCTAAACAGTATTGGTATTTCCATATAAAGTATCTGAGTCTGATATGACAAATAAAATCCCCACAAACTTACAATACAGTGTCTCCAAAGGTGGTGGTGACAGTGTACAAGGCGGATCTGAGAGAAAATCGGAGTGCTTTTCTCAGCTGTAATTCTGACGGTAAAGCCTCTCCTGTACCAGGCCTCCTAGATATGGTCACACGGCCCAACCCATCAACCACCTGCCAGACACAGTGAACATAGAATTAATACGTTTTAGCCAAGATAAGTAAGGGATAAACTGGAACTGAAAACACTACTGACAACTTGATAATATCACATCATACCTTTTGTAACTGTGTAAAGGCCATTAAAATATCTGGTATATTCCTCTGCACTACACCAAACTTGTCTTCCGTGAAAGATGCCGTCACCAGATCACCGAGAGCTGGAAATACAGTTGTGGTAACCAACAGGAATTACAGTATATGTCACATAATGATACTGATTGGGGCATTTTTGTAATACAGTAACACAAAGTTTTTCCTTAGACTACTGAAGTAACAAAGGACTATTGGCTAGATTTTCATATTCAACTACAGTACTGTACTGTATAATTGCACATCTAAATGGACCTAACCAGTGATCTTAGGAAAATAAAAGAATTACCATCAAAATATGGGATCTTCAGGAAAATAAGATGATGTATAAAGTAATTGTAACACTTCAGAAGAATACCTATATAGTACGGTACATTCTTTATACTTAATGATTTTACTTACCCTGCACAGCCCAAATGACTGGCAGCGCTTCGGCAAAGATGCTTCGGTTGGTAGCATCAGGCAAGTCCGATAAAAAATACCCAAAGAAGGGGTACCGTTTCAAACTCATTATAAGCTGGAAGAGACGAACGTAAAAATTATTAATGCTTAACAAATATTAAACAATTTCAAAACCTGTTGACTTATAAGGTTAACACTCATTATTTCTGTGGAGTCAACAAATGCCTCACATCAATATTGAGAGGAAAGTCCTTTATATCGAGGGCCTGTTATGTGTAAAACCCCCATCTAACAAATTATATGAAAAGAAAAGTCCATTATATTGAGGTTCCACTGTATTACACAGAAGCTGGAATAATCAATACCTTCACTGCTCTCTCTTTAAATGGGACAGGAGGTGGCTTGACAACTTCATTCTTGTTGACATCAGTCGGGGCAGACGCTGCCCCAGCGGGCACTACGGGAGGTTTGGGCAGATCTTCCGGGCAGTTGTGTCGCTTTAGTCGCTCACAGAATTTACGGATTAGGTTCATAGATGGGTTCATGATGCCCATCCAGTTCCGGGGATGGCCACCTGTTTTTTAAGACATACCAAAATATAAAAAATACAAATATTGCTGTCAATCTTACATGTAGCATTAAGTATGATGCCTATAAAACACTCTAAAGAGATTAATTATTTTTAACTGAAGCTGAATATCTATAACATCATCATTATTTTTTGTCTACAAGTAGCTACTAACTGTCTGGTTGTCCCCTAAAGATTCACATTTTATGCCATGCTCTTCTATCCATCACACAAATCACAATTTCCTGCATATCAATTCCCCTTGCCTCTTGTGGAGTCTTCTATCTCTATGTCTATGTATTATATTCTTTTCATCAACCTATGACTTTCTTTTCTCTCAATAAGGCCCTTAATCTCCTTACTAATGTATCTGAGTAAATTATTATGAGTAGATCCGGGTATCAATAAGTAAAGAACAAGTAAAATGTATATTAACCTGGCTGGCTGATACAAAACACTTGAGTGCGCCTTGCAAAATTCATGGGGTCTGAAGAGGCTAGTGTCTTGAGGTCCCAAAATGCTAAGAGTTGGAGAAGGCCGGATGAACTGAGGGCATTACTAAGCCTCCATGAATCTGTCTCGGCTTCTGGGTTGCTGTCCTCTGCTGTGGCAACTGGTATCTCAACGGGCTGAAAATATGAATAGAAGTTATTTTCCACTCATCTGCAAACAATCTAAATGATAAATGTTAAAACGTTTAAAATGTGAGAGACATGTTGGACAGTCAAAGCGGTAAAGTTCTACAAACAACATTGCCCAAAGAGCCATAAATGAAGAGTTAAGGCTATTACTGATTACCAACTTCTTCCGAGATCCTGCCGTGTGATAAAACTACAGAAAATGTTTGGTTTAAACTAAGTTTTATTTTTTTTAAGTTATCAGGTTCACAAAGATGGACACACACACAAAGATGCCTGCCATTTCTATGTTCCTTCTTCCTGTGGATCAGCAGGGACAAGAGTTTGAACCATGAAAGTACCTATATAAATTATTCACTTTTTCTACAAGAAAGAAAGTGAAGGAACACAACAATTTCTAGTGATAGAGTTGGGTTGAGTCAAAGAATAGGATAATACCATCAGTGCTTGGAGACAACAATGTCAACCCATGGATATATCAACTCAAGCTTTATATTGATCCATCAAAAATTACAAAACTTGTGCCATGTTTCCTCACGAACTATGTATCCACCCAGCATGGCAATAAGACTTAACCAATTAAAAAATATACTATACCAACCTCTGTTATGAAAATGTGGAAGACTTGTGAGAAGAGGGAGAGACTGATTGCCAAGAGAACAGTCGCCAGCAGAGTCATCATCATCAGAGGCAAGTCAAATATTACCAACCACTCCTGCCAGTTTCCATCATATATCAAGTTTATCATGATAGCTGAAACACGAAAGAAAATACTGTACATTTCGCTTCTGCTAACCTTTTACCGCTACTGTATATAGTACTGAATGACCGAGAGGAAGAGTATCACGTGCCTCCTCCCAATCACGCTGTCATCTATTATAGCTATGTTGTTAAATTGCCTCACCATATGTTGTGTGCAGTACTGTATACTGTACCTGTAAATCTCTAGATGGACAATTATCCATTCAGCGTCAATTATGATATATTTTTATCTACGAAAATTTGATACCTACACAGAAGCAGCAGACCTTTTACTAATACTTTACTACTTGTCATCCACTGAGGTTCTTCCAGCATTTCCAACCTCGTTACTCCAAAAATTTCAAGAAACACCAATATGGGCTACTGTATTTCTACCTTAAGATCATTTTGATAGAAACTGACATAAAGCTTTTAATCAACATTTATACCTAGAAACACCTCAACTAGTATTCCAATCAAGTATATTAGTAAAAATATAAAAACACATAGAAATATTAATGTAACCTACCAGCAGCCATATAAATACAGATGGCACATAAGAATGACAACTTGTTAGCCCCATGAGTATTACAAGCTTCCCTCGTACTGCGAAGACTAAGGCTTGCTTTGATCAATTGCAACTTTCTCGGGTGAGCCGGGGTGGGTGTTATTAGATTACCATTCAACATGAAGTACTTGTAGGCGTAGTGGTAACCAACATAGGCACCCATATAGATTATTACAGTCTTGCGCTTGTAACACATGACGTCCCTGGTAAAAAAAAAAAGAGGTTCCTCAAATTCCATGATTATGTTACAGTAGTTATACAAATAAATAAATGTAAATACAATCAGTTAAGCAACACAAAATCCCAAAAAATCCACATCCACTAAAATTGGTTAAAAATTAAATTTAAAACTATATTAAACTCTAAAAAAACATTAAATATGCTTAAAAACGTCTAAAATCTGAACACATCTGTAAAACGTTTCCTGCCTCTGTGAAAATCTTTGACAAGATTAACAGATGCATTTGTAAGGAGGAAAATGGTAAATCATGTTCCCTGTCATAGGTGCCAGGTGCTTAAATAGGCAATTAATTCAAATCAACTGATGATACTTAACCTTCTTGGTTCTGCAGTAAGGTCAAAGGTCACTAGGTAAAAGGAAGACCTCTTTATGCTTGTACAGTACTGACAACCTTTTATGATTTCATCTCTGAATGGATTACTGCACAAGTATAATTTATGGAGGAAACTGTCTAAGGAATGACGATAAATGGATTATAACGAATACAGCAATTACAACTAAGAGAGAGGAAAAAATACTTTACACAAAATACTCATAGACTGCAACTTATGACTTTAATTATAATACAATATAAATGTTAAACCTACTGATTAGTGAGCTATAAATACACTCACCCAGGTGTACATGGTATCACAAGGAATGGAAAATCAGGATGTGCAAGTGAAGTATAAAAGTTGGCCAGTAGAGCACATGCTATCATGATGAGTCCACTTCTCAAGATCACAGTGAGGGAGAGTACACGTCTCCATTTCTCCCAGCGATTGAGTGGTACCCAGGCACTCACTGCAAATTAAAATCAGCACTGCCTTAAATATCATACTAATAAATGGATACATCGTAGCAATATAAGGAAAAATACTGGTTAGAATTAGAGCTTATGAGTGTACAGTAGATGAAATTAAGGAACTAACTCTAAACCAGGTTATAGTGAAAATGGGTTGGTTAACTCATGTACTGTACCAATAACCTTGTAAGTTAACCTCAGGGCTCCCAGGTACTGTACCCTCCACTTGTGAGACTCGGGTATACTCCAGTTACTATAGGATATCTCTTGGTTCAATCACACCACTATAAACACAGGGATCAACTTCATGCACTTCACAATAATAGAAGGCTTGTAAGGCAAGTCCTGTACCTTAATTATGAGGTCCCCAGCATCCCCTCTGGCTAGAGACAGAAAAATCTGAGTTGCCAAATCCATTTTTGTAATAAAAATTGAATATTACATTAAGGTCAAGTTGATCAGGTAGCCACGTACACTCAGCCTAGCTAGAACTATGTCAATGGAAAGATGGAGGCGTCGAGGACTATACAATACACTACTTTACGTAAATGACTACGTACCAGTGTAAGACTTAATGTGAACTCGTGCCAGTATAACAAAACACGCGGCTGGGACCACTAGACGCAGCAGTTTTGTTGGATAGATGCAGGAGGTCAGGAGATTTGTGGTAACTGTGATGGGGTTCAGTATTCTTTGCGCAACAACTGTGTGGTAAAGGTTGCACACAGCCATCGGGGCCACAACCTGCAGGAGCAACAAGCATGCCAGTGCTCGCACATATCGCCACAGCAAAACCTGAAAGAAATTGGTATTCATAACAACGTCGTACACTGTAAACCTTGTAAATGTGTTCACCTACATTCTTGCAATTATCATTATCATTCATCAATATTTTATGGTAATTTTCCACACTTAGAGTGGGTTAGACGCAATTACTTGACAGCAAATGTTGGGTAAACCAGAATGGAATGTCCCCCACCTGCTCACCAGGCAAAAAAAAAAAACGTAAAAATGGGTGGTATCATACAATTGTTTATGTAGTATGGGATCTGGGAGCTCCCCCAGACTGTAATTTGGTTAGGTTTGGTCAAGTTCGCGTACAGATTTGGAAGAAACAACCACATGTATACTCTTTTTGTATATGGACATTGCTTGCAAACGTGCATTGTCTATGTACTGTACATTGTATCCCTATACCTACACTTCCTAAGCACACTATATCCCTACACCGTCTATGTACATACTCAGTCAATGTGAACTTTGAAGGACGATATTACACCATAAACATGAGCCAAACACCACAGGTTGGCCGCCTCCCTCATCACTCTGTTCACCTCACTACCACTCCACATATATCAAGGTATTCCTCTTCATACACTCACCTCACTAGAGAATAGGTCCTCAGGCTTCATGACAGGTCACTAGGAGCAATAAATCACCTTAAAATGAGAGATTAAGAAGAGTGTAGCGGCTGATGCTTGAGTTTAAACACAAGAGAGGAGGCTGGAGTAGGACCTCGGGTATCGTACACTGTTGAGGAGTTGTTGTTCACGATCACGGCAGAAATTTGAATTAAAATGGATGTTTTTTTTTATTTAGAAATAATAATATAGGTTAAGTATTTAGAGTATTTTTTTATTAATTTACATGCCAAGATAATGCTGATGTCTTAACCTTGATTTGAATGTGGAACTAAAAATTACACCAATTTTAAAAGTTTCCAATTTCCATATTTTAGTTCCCTAAATGAATAGATAATTATATATACAAAAATAAAAATATATGCCAATTCAACAAATTAAATATAAGAAAAGCATCTTTATTGTCACCCTATTTTAAATACTGTTACTTTAATAATATCAAGGATGATTAAAGAAACGAACGTCTATAAAAGTTAAAAGTTATAGGTAATAGCTGAAGGTTGTATGAAGGCTGAAGCTCGCAGTTACAGGATACAGGTGAAATCTTCAAATACAAATTTCAATAGTTAGTTGACTTGTGGTGAAAATGAATAAACAAATTTTATTCATTCACTGAGGTCACCAGCGAGCAGCGCCATTGTTTACATGCGGCGAGTCTGGAAACTTACAATGATAACAATACTACTACTATCATAATAAAACATGATAACATTGGTTTGGTATTTATATATATAGACAATGAAGGTATACAACAACAGTGCAGGTAGCTACATGTTTTGTGGGTTAGTGAGCGTAATATGAATCGTCTGATTTTATGTTAACTGATGTATAATTTATTGTTAAAAAATGAACCAAACTAATCTAATTTACTGTAAAATACTGTACTACATTAATCTTGTATTAAAACAGAAAACTGTATATTGGTTGGGCTGCTACAGATAAGCAGTTTCGTGTGATCTCCAGATGCTGTGAGGTTGATTACTGGTAAGCGGGAATCAGGTAAACAATTTTAGGCTATGTTACGAAGGTTAGCTTGGTTAATTTTATAAACAATGAATTATTAAATGTAGCAGTATCTGACACTTTGAAAAGTTCCAGTACAGAGATTGGAGCACCTGAACTCAAGGTAGGTTATCAACCTACCTTGCCTGAACTTGCCTAGCTTATACTACAGACGGGTAAGGGGCGACCTAATTGAGGTGTATAAGCATCTCAAGGGGCACTACTCAGTCGAGTGTCCTTACCTGGAGCTGGCAGACGCAAGCCCAACAAAGGGTCACAGCTCAAGATTGAAGAAGCCGCAGGTCCAGAAAACTGTGAGGGCAAACTTTTTCAGAGTGAGGGTTGTGAACTCTTGGAACAATCTGTCAAAAAATGTTGTGACGGCACCGAGTGTGAGCTCTTTCAAGAACAGACTTGACCAACACTGGAGCAGGTTCAGGTACATTCAGGAGCCGGTGCAAGCCTAGTACTTGCCAACAGTGCGTAACAGAGACGTGACCAATTGCCCAAGCGGCTAACGAACCGATCAGTGGTGAAGAGAATAAAAGTAAAAAAAAGTACAGTACATGTATCGTAGAGAGGGAAAGGTTGCTGCATACAGGGTTCCTTGTTATCCAAATGGGTTAGGTTCCTTGAAAACAACTCCAGGGTTGTGATACGAATTTTCAATAGGACCACCATTCTGATAAACAATATTACCTACAGAGAGCAAAAAAGAATTACTGTATAAGAATAAAAAATTCAGATAAGCAAATTTTTGGATACCAATCATTGGGGTAGCTAGGGATGCCTGTAGCTACTGGGGACTGTGATATGTACTGTAAGCTTGTATAGAAATAAAAGTAAATAATAATTGTAAAATTATAAAAACAGTAATACTGAAGCTAGTTTTATGGATAAATTAAGTCTTTAAAACACTATTATTGAAATAGATACGGTAATAAATTCTTACCTCTGGCCTAAGACACAGTTTTTGGCCAGAAATATTGGGATTTATAAGTTACTGTACAGCATTTTCTTTTTTTTACCAATATCATTTGAATGTTTAAGTAATAGCTACAGTGACTGACTGGTTTAGTTGTATGTTAATTCTTTGTGTTGTAAATTATTTCAAGAAATAAGAAATCATCTGTGAACCAAGTGTTTGTTAAGGGCTCAGTGATCAGTTCTGGCTAAAACCATAATTAGTTGAGGGATGTTATTTTTTATTCTTCAGTGTCAAAGGTGCATAGGTAGTTCCGTGGTCCAGAAAATTAGGTCTCTCAAAAATTGGGTTAGGTTAGGTTCACCCATTTACCCAATATTTTCCTTGGGACCAATCTTCAGGACTGAATATTCCTAGCACTGGTAGTTTCAAAGTGGGAAAAATACCGTAGCTTAATGATGTTATGTTTTTATTTGTTGGAAGTTACCATTCGTTTGCTATAGCCACTGTGGACAGAATGTCATCACACTAACCAACATAGTAAGTGTTACAGTGTGTCTCAGTCAAGGATTTATGTCCTGTGGTGTAAAACAGGAAACTTATTATTTTATTTCTTGTTTTAAATGCAGCAAATGGTGAGATAAGTTATTTTTCTTAATTTTTATTTTGTATTCCACAGTTAAGATAAATGCTTGTACTGTACTGTATATTCAGGGAAAAGTAAAGACATTGGTTTTGGAAATTCCAATACAGTACACAACTGTACTGTATATTTTTATTTATCATCTTTTGTAGAAATTTTTGTTGTGTTCAACATTTTAAACATTAGTAGTTATAAATAGTAGCCATATGAAATAAATATTGTACTGTACTGTACACTACAGTGAACCCTCACTTTATGCGGTTAATTTAACCCACGGCGGCCCGCATAAAGTGAGAAACGCGTAAAGTGAACAACATAACATTGGGATTAATTGAAATAGAGACCTGGCCGACCCCCAAACTCCACTTTTTCAGACACAATACCTACGTTGTAGTAAAAATAACTTCTTAATTTTATGATGGTATGCACACACAATTAATAATGAAGAGAAATATCAATAATATTAGGTTTTTTAACACTTACATTAGTAGAAAAGATGGCTGGGCACACGGGGATGGGGGGTTGGTTCCGAGGCAGAGGGCAGATTATTGGCCCTCACCTGTATCACTTGTATCAATTGTATCACTTTCCACCACAGAGGCTTGCAGGGCCTCTTTGTCAAACCCCTCAAAGTCCATATAAGTCCATATCCTCACTATCATTATCACTATCACTGACTTGGGCCGGCTGTGGTGGGTGGCGGGTTTAGAACTCGGTAATGTTTTGATGACTGGGCGACCTTGTGCGCACCCTGCTCGCGCCGCTCTCCGCGTAAAGGGGTACACGCACCGCGGAAAGTGAGCATTCCGGTTTCGGCAGGGAACCGCGTAAACGTGGAAACGCGTAATGTGGGACCGCGTAAAGCGAGGGTTGACTGTATATCATAGAGATCAACCATTACTGTACCGATGGCTAGATCTTCTCTCTATGCAAATGATGCGAGAAGTTGGGTGTTTTATAGCAGTGATGGTGACATATATATATACAAAAGATTTGAACAAGATGAAATGAGATGGTGAGGTAGATGTACAATGTGACCCTGAAAAATAGGAATCCCTTTTCAGAGCTAAGATGGCAGCTGGATATTGATAATATTGACAATATTTTACATAGAAATAGGCTGGGATAGTTTAGGCATGTGGATAAATGGATGAGACCAACTGGGTCAAGAGATGCATGAGTTTAAATGTTATGGGGAGGAGAGCCAGGGGCAGAGGTTGTAAGATATAACATTCGAGTTAAGAACCTGACAAGAAAGATTGCATAGAATGTAAAGCTTCCATTAGGTTATAGTAGGTAATTCATGCAAGTGCAGAAAATGGCTCTAAAATGATGATGATTAACCTTAAACTTAGCTTGTCAAAAATTGTTCAGAGGGATATCACAGTAGTGATCAAGATGCATTTGAAGCTTTATAACTATTTCCCTAAACTTGTTTATATAAAAATTATGAGAGTTGTATGACTCAAACTGGTGCCACTGGGCTCAAAGAGAAATAAATCACGTTTGAGGCACCAGTTGTCTCTGTGACTCACACCAGCACTCAGTGACATCATCCAACACTGGTTAGGCCTTCTAGGAGTCCTATAGGAGACTTAAAAGTCATACTGTACAATTCAAACTGACAATTAGATATTGTTCCCAAGACCAACACAAGGAAAGTTGACCAATTCCAAGCCATGGTAGGCATTATGGTCCAATAGGGAGATGCATGTTGGCTGGAGATCCTCTTGTCACTTGGAAATAATCTTGAGGTGATTATAATTCCCAAACTTCTGCATCATTGACTCTGTAACCTGCAAATAAAGTAAAGATTACAGTACAATGGTAGACTCAGGTTACAAAATGCACAAGTTCAATGTGTACTGTACATTCTGTGTTAATAAGGATGGCAGATTCCTCACCTAAGTTTGACAAACTTCTTTCAAGTTAAGGCAAGTCCATTGTTAGTTGGAGAGATGGTGGTGTCAGTTGGAGGTAATCTATAACTCCCAAATGTCTGCTTCACTGATTCTGCCAATAAAAACAAAAAAGGAAATTTAGTGCTCTACAGTACACCACATGGTAAGATTCATCTGAAATAGGAGTTCAGATTCTGTAATGTGTAGTGAGATATTAAAGGATGCAACACTTACAGCAGAAAGATTGAGTATAAATCAGTGAGTTAAGAGAGTGTCTGTATGCTGTTGGATAAAGGCTTGTGGGGGGGGGGGGGAAATAAGTTCCCTTGTAGAGCAGCTGAGTCATGAGGTAGTGTTGATAAGTGTGACTCTCTTTAGTTAAGAGCCAGATGCATCAGTGAACTGTCTTATGTGGGTTTTAAAGGACTGCACTCTTATTATTTTGTCTTTAACTGTAAACATAACCAATTAAATTTAGAGTGTGAATATTTATTTTTTCTTCCGGTTCCCACCCTGAAGTAAGTAACATCCTCTCTGATGTGCTGCCTCTTGTTGCTCCTGCAAATACCATGTGCCAAAGAGAATTCCCACTTAGACAAAACAGATAGTCACCGTTTAGTCTCACAAAGTAAGAAAAATATACAGTTAACCCTCACTTTACGCGGTCCCGCATTCCGCGTTTCCACGTTAACGCGGTGCCTTGCCAGAACCTCACGTGCTCACATTACGCGGTACGTGAACCCCATTACGCGGAGAGTGTCCGGCGCGACGCTATTTTTAGATTCGCCCCACCCGCCACCCGCCCGCCTGCCTGCCTGCCTCTCCCTCCTCCTCCCTCCGCTTGGGCAAGCGGCACGGTAAGGTTGCGCAGTGTGTGTCTTTGTTGCGTTATCACTGACGTCATATGACGTATCAGACCTGTGATTGGCCATGCATCCCTACCCCCCTCTGCTGCTAGCTGTAATTGGCTTAAAGTATTATGACGTGTCCACCCGGGGGAGGGAGGGAGGGAGGAAAGACGACGCTTGACCTAGCCGCGGCAGTTTCATCCCTCAAGGCCACTCCGTGTAAACGCGCATCCATTGTTCCGTAAAATGGCTTCCGCCGGACCACCACCCCCAGAGAGAAACCTTTCCTTACCTGGACCCAGCGGCACTAAACCAAAGAAGACACGACGTTCCTTAAGCTACGAGGTGAAGTATAGCATCATCCAAGAGTTGGAGAAAGGAACAAGGCAGGTTGATTTGGCGCGCCAGCATGGCGTGAACGAATCTACGATCCGGACTATAAAGAAGGATTCAGCCAAGATAAAGGAGCACATGAAGATCACAAAGTCTACAGGTGCTTCTATGATCAAGTATTTTCACAACCAGGTGCTTCTCAAGACAGAAAAATTACTTGTGAGGTACTTGGTGCGTCAGGCGCGACGGAACATGGCGGTCGACACGCGCTCTGTTAAGGACTACGCACGTGAACTGTACATGGCAGTGGCACGAAAGATGGGAACTTCAGAGCCCAAACCCTTTAATGCTTCCTCTGGGTGGTTACAGAGGTTTAAGATCCGGAACAAGATCACCAATATAAACATTGGTGGTGAAGAAGCGAGTGCTGATCGTGCTGCGGCTCGGGAATTTCCTCCGTTTTTACGTGAGATTATGGAGGAAGGACAGTACAGTGACGACCAGGTGTTTAACATGGACGAATCTGGTCTTTTCTGGAAAAAACTACCTTCCAAGTCCTTCGTTGTGAAGAATGCCAGCAGGATTCGGGGCCGGAAAATGCAGAAGGAACGCATCACCGTCCTGTTTACCACCAATGCCTCCGGTACCTGTAAGCTCAAGTTATCGGTGATCCACACAGCCCGCAAGCCGCACGCCTACAAGAGCATGGACATGACCAAGCTAAATGTCCACTGGCTGACCGCACGTAAGGCATGGATGTTCTCTACACTGTCCCTCTCCTGGTTTGATGACTGTTTTGTTCCCGATGTAAAGAAATTCTGTGAGCGACAGAATGTCCCATTTAATATTTTGTTGCTGCTGGACAACGCACCAGGACACTCGCCCCTACTGTTAGATCGTCACCCCAACGTAAAAGTGGTCTTCCTTCCTCCCAACACTACGTCTTTAATCCAGCCCATGGACCAGGAGTTGATTTGCAATGTGAAAGCTGCATTCTCAACAAAAAAATTCCAGCTCCTGAACGACTACACCAACACCAGGGAAGAGTTGCGTAACCTGAGTGACACCACCACCGATAGCAAGAGCGAAGAAGATGAGGATCAACAGTTAGAACAGCAAAAAATACTCTTCAAACAATTCTGGAGAGTATTTAACATCAAGAAAGCTGTGGACTTCTTGGTGGAGTCATGGGATCAGCTGTCTATTGCTACAATTCGTCACGCATGGAGACATGTGTTGCATGGAATACCAGGTGAGAGGAGGAGTCAATCTGTGACTGGTGAGGTTCAGAATGTTGCAGTAGCAGTGGACCTTGCCAGAGAAGCTGCGCAGACTGTTACAGTTCCAGGCTTCTCCGAGACCACCAACGACGACATCCTGGAGGTGATCAGAGATCCTGAAGTGACTGCCGACGAGATGTTGGAAGAAGAACACGTCAGTGAAGAGGAGGAAGAAGGTGCGTCAGTCTCCGAAGAACACAATTTAAGTCATAGTGATATTAAGGGTGCCATGGAGTGTGCAGAGAAGATGAAGTCCTTCCTTTCCCGCGACAATGACGATGACCGCTATGAAGTCTTCCATACCCGGCTGGTGCAGGCTATGGAGCCGTACATCAAGGTGTATCACGACAACATCAACGCCAGCCGTCAGCAAAGCATAACAGATTTCTTCGCCCGCAACCCACCACAGCCAGCCCAAGCCAGTGATAGTGACAGTGAAGTTGACTTTGAGGGATTTGTCAGGGAAGCCCTGACAACTGTAAGTGACAGTGATGGTGATTCACCTAGTAATGGTGATTCACCTGAGGGCCAGTAATCTGCCCTCTGCCTCGGAACCAGCCTCCATCCCTGTATGCCGACCCATCTCTTCTACTACCGTAAGTGTTACACCTAATTTTTAGTTTTCTAACCTTACCTTTATTTTTCCTATGTTAACCTTTATCTTTCCTAACCTAACCTCTTCTATATTACTTGTTTTTTCATACCATCATAAAGTTAAGATAAAATTTTTACTACAACATAGTTGTGTGTCGTCAAAAAGTGGAGTTTGGGGATCGGCCCGGACTCCATTTCAATTAATCCCATATGTTATGTTATTCACTTTCCGCGGTACCCTCCGGGTTACATTAACCGCGTAAAGTGAGGGTTAACTGTATTTGTGTATGGATAAATTCGATTTATTATTACTGTAATTAAGAAATATCATAAATTATGTAGAATATACTTACAGTTTGAGTGTGCTTCTTAATTTCATCAAAAATATCGGGTTTAGTTCCTCAACCTCCACAGCTTTGATTCTGGAGGAGGAAACTTGCACTCCGGACATACCCAGACGAACTCCCTCCAAGTGAGTTGCCAGTAATTTACATCCATTTACTGTAAGTTCACTTCTTGGGAACCTGATACTCCAGAAGATACTTTTGTGCATAAAAGAAAATTATTGTTGTTTAGAATGAGTTCTATAACTTGCCACCAATTAAAGTCACCTACTGAATATGTGCATAAAAGCTCCTGGGGTTTGCTTGTAAAAAATGGAGGATTATAAGTCTTGATATCACAGAGGATATTGTTTCCCTGCATAGATTACACCTCACTTGACATTGTTGTAACCCCAGTTTCCAGAAACAAACACCTCACCACAAGTGCCAGACTGCTTGAGGAAATAAGTTCCTTTCTGACTCTTCTAGTTCACAAATAAGCAAAATGCTTACTCTACCTCATCCTTTTTGATAGCTGGCTTCTGATTAACAGGTTACTTAAAACTATGGAGGTTGGATGGATAGACGAAGTTATTACTGTACTCTGGTACAGTATGAGATAATTGGGCCAAGTTTTATTCTTCTCTGACTGCATTACAAAACTGGGTTCTCTCCAGACTATCCCTTGTATTTTTGGCAATGAATACATATACAGTCCAGTAGATTACTGGATGTGTCTACCAATGATGGAACAATCCTTAAGTGAACTCACATCCCACCAAAGGGGCTGAATAACTCACAATACAGTAATAACTGTACTTCATAATATGGTTCAAGGAATCAACATAACAGATGGATATACTTTACATTTTCACTCCCTGTAGTTTGAGAGTCGCTTTCCCCACCCACTCTACATCTTCATCTTTCACACTTGAGAACCACAGATCCACCATCAACATCTTCTTGGGTAACTGTGGAAGGACCTCTAATGGTACTCTCGCCAGCACATGCAAGTCTATAGAAGGAATAAATGTTAAATATTAAAGTGAAACCTCCATATAATGGGCTACTTTCTCCATAAAATCCATTAAATAGAATTTCCACTGTACTTTATCCTATTACTCTACATCCATAAATGGCTAAACGTACCAAAGTTATGTCAGGTCAGTACATCTTTGGTATGATGTAAGAGTTACTAATAATATGAATCCTCTTTTGTAAACAGGTAAGTATTGTTTTCAGGGTCTGAAAAAAAATCATATTTTTCTATCATATTTTATTAATGAATTGTTTTTCATGAGATTTTTAATAATGAGTATTTTGAGATTTTCTCCAGTTCCATAAACATTACTTTTTTTTAAGTTAGGTAACACTAACTGTAGGAATAATACTGTTAAAGTTACTTACAGAGGAATTGTAATTTAGTCATCCTGGTTGTGAGGTAGTCTGGGGAATCAACTGTATTCTCTACATACTCTTTCCCAATCCCTAGATAGAGGATATCTAACGTAGGAAAGAGGACAGAGATGTTCTTAACAGACACCATGATCTTTGTCACTTGTAATCTGAAATGAAAATTATGTACATATTACAGTGTATTAGTACAGTAGTAAATTTACAATTGAAATAAACTGAAATCACGGTACTATCCCACTGTAATACAGGTATCCCTCGTTTAATGATGAGTTTACGTTCCTGAAAACCTAACGTTAAGCAGAATTATCGCTAAACGAAGGATTACAGCAAATCATGGAAGACGAATAACAGGTTCAAACAGCAGGGTGATAATCACTGTGTACAGTACCTGTACAGGTACTCCTCTAATAATAAATGAGTTTGTTAAAATGGTTTTGAAATTAAACGATTCATTTACAGGTATGAACACCAAACTTCTATAGAATATAAACAATATGGTTCAGAGTTAAACGATTTATTGAGCAAAAAATGAGCCTAATTCAAACAAATTTCAAATTGTATACATAAAAAATAAAAGAAATTACTATGATAAACAATAAAATTTATAAATAGCGCATCATAAAATATAATAGCACATATTTTATATATAAAAAATAGCTCTTTCAACACTCAAACCATCCTCTGTGCGACGTGACACAGTTCAGCTGGGCAGTCACCCAGCTGACTCAGAGACACATGTATTTGCTGTGCTGTATGTATGTTGTGACATCACATTGGGGGAGGCAAGAGATGAGGGGTATCAACTGGCCTGACTTATTAAGGTACAAGAACGCAGACACTACGCTGAATATCATAACTAGTAAAATGACCCATTTGATCGATAAATATATACCCAAGACCAAACCCAGTGCTTCTAAGAATACGAGGGGATTCCTACATATGAACCATGCGGCGGTCAACAAAATTAAGAAGAAAACCCAGAAATTCAAGACGTGGGTTGGGTCAAACGATGAGCAAGACAGGAGGATGTATGCAAGAGCCAGAAACCAAGCAAAGATAGAGTGTAGGAGGGCTGAAAAGGAGTTCCAGAGGCTGGTTGCACGCGAGGTCAAGTCAAACCCAAAGGCGTTTTACTGCTATGCAAAGTCGAAATTGAAAACGCGAGTAGGAGTATCAGACCTGAGGCTTGAAGATGGTAGTTACGCAGATTCTGACCAGGATAAAGCTGAGGCATTGAACAGCTTCTTTTCCTCAGTGTTCACAAGAGAGGATGCAACTAACCTTCCTGCGTTTGAGGACAGACGGTTCGACACAGCACTGACCCACATTGTGTTCACAGAAGAGGGTATTAGAAATAAACTGTCCAGGCTAAAGGTCCATAAGAGTCCCGGACCTGACATGGTGCATCCTAGAGTGCTAAGAGAGCTGTGCAACGAGCTTGCAGAGCCCCTGAAGATTCTGTTTTGTAAATGCCTGGATGAACAAATGGTCCCCAGTGAATGGAAAGTGGCTTATGTGAATCCTATCTTCAAGAAGGGCGATAGTCACTCCACGAACAACTATAGACCGGTGAGCCTGACCAGCATAATATGTAAAGTACTTGAGAGTATTATCAGAGATGCCGCGATGGAACATCTACTACGAAACAACCTTGTAAAAGATTGCCAGCACGGTTTTATGCCAGGGCGCTCTTGCTTAACACAATTGCTCAAGGTATTGGATATTTGGACCCATATTCTAGAACGGGGTGGTAATATCGACAATATTTACCTAGATTTTGCCAAGGCTTTCGACAGTGTACCCCACGAAAGGCTGAAAATCAAACTGGAAGGGTACGGAATTCGGGGAAATGTCCTAGCGTGGATAGAAGACTTTCTACATGACCGCAAGCAGTGTGTGGTGATTAATGGCACGAAATCGTCATCTGTACCTGTAACAAGTGGGGTACCGCAGGGTAGTGTATTGGGCCCGCTGTTGTTTGTTTGTTTCATAAATGACATGCCTGACGTTGTACACTCCTCCATACAAATGTTTGCCGATGATGGCAAGTTATTTCGGGAAATTAAGAACCAAGCGGACTGTGAAGAGCTGCAGAAGGACCTCTGTGGGCTCCAGGAATGGTCGAAGAAATGGCTGCTGAGATTCAATGTCACGAAGTGTAAGAGGATGCACCTGGGGCGTACCAACGGTAAGGAGGCTTATCATATGTCCCAACGGGATGAAGAAAATGCACTAGTTGAGACTGTGTGTGAGAAGGACCTAGGTGTGTATGTTGAAAATGAGCTGAAGTTCTCGGGCCATTGTGAGAAGAAGGTACGGTAAATCAGGCAAATAAATTATTGGGTCTTATAAGAAGGTCGTTCAGATATCTAGACGGTCCGTCCCTCGTGACGATCTTCAGGAGTGAAGTGCTTCCCCATCTGGAGTACTGTCACCCCATCTGGTCCCCGAGATATGCTAGGGACTGTCAGTTGGTTGAAAATGTTCAAAGGAGGGCCACCAAACTGGTGCCTGCACTTCAGCACCTCAGCTACCCTGAGAGATTGGAGCGCCTGAACTTGCCTAGCTTATACTACAGACGGGCAAGGGGGGACCTAGTTGAGATGTATAAGCATCTCAGGGGGCACTACTCAGTTGAGTGTCCTTACTTGGAGCTGGCGGACGCTCGCCCCACAAGGGGTCACAGCTCAAGATTGAAGAAGCCGCAAATCCAGAAAACCGTGAGGGCAAACTTTTTCGGAGTGAGGGTTTTAAACTCTTGGAACAATCTACCAGAGAGTGTTGTGACGGCACCGAGTGTGAGCTCTTTCAAGAGAAGACTTGACCAACACTGGAGCAGGTTCAGGTACATTCAGGAGCCGGTGCATGCCCAGTATTTGCCAACAGTGCGTGACAGAGACGTGACCGATCGCCCGGGCGGCTAGCGAGCCGATCTTTTGGTGAAGAATATAAATGAAAAGAGACGTGACCGATCGCCCAAGCGGCTAACAAGCCGATCAGTGGCGAAGAGGGTAAAAGTAAAAAGTAAAAAAGCGAGGCTGGGCTGGTGAGTCAGCGCACTACCTTCACACATATATATGTTCACTTCACACACATGCACACCCATGCTCTTCATTTTTTTTTATAATGTTATATTATATTTTCTTTATTTCTAAGCCACATGAGAGTAGTGTAATGACTTTTCCACAACTTTAATAGATTCATTACATGTAATAATAGGAATATGTCATCTAACAGCCCACTTTTTCCCCTTTCCAATGAGATAAGTTATCACAAAACCGAATTTGACCGAACAAAAAGCGAGAAATTATGTCAAAATTTGTTTATTGTTAAAGCAAATTAACGTAAAGTGAATTAACACTAGAAGAGGGATACCTGTACAGGATTTATTTGTATAGAATCATAAATTTCTGGAAAACTGTAGTTTTAAATATTCTTTTCCAATATAGTACAGGTAGTGTACATGTTAAAATGAATTTCTGTACACAAAAATAGAAAAAAAAAAGTTTTATGATACAAAATGAAAATAATAATATTATTTATTCAGTAAAACTGATATACAGGTTTACAATTGGATAGGTAAGTTCATAAACTATGCAGGTATACAGTTCAATGTAGGTGCAGTATATGATGTATGTAGGCCATGAGAGTAAGTACAGTACAGTACTGTATACAGTTTCCTGTGTGCCGAGACAGTACAGGTAGTACTGTATACAAAAATGGTAAACAGTAAGGCAATTCGACCAAGGATATCCGACAAAGCTGTCAGATGCTTATTTCCAGGAAGGTCCTTTGCTTAGGCTTATTCTCTAATCAGTGACAGTGTCATATTATGGAATAAATTATGTTTGTGTTTACCTTTACTTTATATGTTCTCTTGTTCTAATTGGGTTTTGCCTTGTTCTGTTGCAGATGTATTGTATATGGATTTATGAGTTGAATAAAACCTTGATTACTGAAGTTATTTGATATCCTACGACAATCAGTACAGTGGTCCCTCGGTTAACGAGCACAATCCGTTCTAGAAGGTTGCTCGTTAACCGAAAAACTCGTTAACCGAAACAATTGTTTCAATGGGTTTTTGGGTAATTGGTTCCAGCTCACCGAAAATTGCCTAAATTCAACAAAAAAGGTAGAAAAGTACACTTACTTTGAGTTGTGTATGTAGAAGGCTCCTGGATGATGATGATGATGATGGGAATTAGAATGGGGTTGGAGGAGAAGGGAGAAGAGAAGGCATTGGGGTGGAAGAGAAGTCACCCCATGGCGCCATTTCACCCATAAAATTTTAGTTCTCTTGGTGTAATTCAAGATTATTTTCTTTAAATCAACATCGCACTGCATTATATATTGTCAATATGTAAAATAAATTTCAAATTGACCAATAATTTGCTTGTAAACACAGAAAAAAAGCGTTTAGTTGAAGAGAGTCTCAAGCAAGATGTTACCTCCACTGAAAAGACACAAAGACTGACGCCTGTATGCTGTGTTGGCAGGCTGGATGGCGTGCCACAAACTAGTGAGCCTACCTTCAATTATGTTCAATTATTGTTAAAATGACTAAAAAATCTAATATTAAACTTTTAAAATTATTGAATAGTATAAACTTCTTGATATTTACTAAAAGGGTAAAGAATTTAAGCCCTAAAACCGATTACTGTATTGGCGGACTAATACTACAGCTGGTGGACCGCCAAATGCAAGCTAAAACAAGTGGAGGTCGGCTCGTAAGAAACTCGTTAATCGAGGGATTGTTTGTTAATTGAAGTTAAGAATCATATGGAAGGTAACTCCTTAACCGAAATCTCGTTAACCGAGGCGCTCGTTAACCGAGGGACCACTGTATGTCTACAGGGGTAATAGTGGAAGTTTTTTGGTAAGTTCAGCAAGTATTACATTGTTTTTGGACTATCCGAAGCTGACAGATCACTCCAACAGCACAGTCCAGTACAACATTCTGTGGTTAATAATATAGAAACTTACTCTCTTCTCCTGCTCTAGCTTCACTTGTTATGCATTGTTTAGTTTTAGCTTTGAACTTTAATACCATAACTGGTTTTGATGTGGTCTGGTAACTTGTTCCAGTCTGATATGGCAGTAAAGAAGAAAGTTTTTTCATTTCACCTCCGACACCAGGTACCACAAAATTATGTTAGCTTCCTGTTGTGCCCTGCCGGTTCATATTCTTAATCCTTACAAAGTTTGTTGCTAAATACTCTGGGCACAGTCCATTGAAATCCTGTACAGTAAGTGTGATTCAGCCTCAGTTGCTTTCATGGCAAGAATGAACATCACTGCCTTGTTTTGAATCATTTATAGCTTCTGTGTTAGGGCATAGTACCATGACGAGCAGAAATAGTCCAAGTGACAATGTATGAGGGCCAAGCAAAGGGTCCTACGAGCATTTCTACAGAGGGCATTACTTTCAACTTCATTATTTATAATTAATTCACCAGACAAACAAGAGTCAAGAGTTAGTCCAAGGTTTTTCATTGAGGTTACAGTTGAGATGGATTGATTCCCATATAGTAATACTGTACAGTACAATGAATTTGTTTACCCTTTAGAGTTTCCTTTTTGATCCAAATGTATTGCTTCAGTTTTTCCAAGATGTAGGGATACTTTGTTGTCTCTGACTCATTGTTTGCATGACTCCAGTTCAAATGATAAACTCGTTAGCTACATCATTTGGATCTTTACCTAACACTAAAGGAGCATTGTTGTTAGCATAGAGCAAAAGTTTACAATTAACACTAATGAGCATGTCATTTACATAACACAGCAAAAGTAAAGGTCCTAGGATACTCTGTGGGACTCCACAGGCTATTGGCTTGGATGATGACTTGGTGTTATTTGCAACAACAATATGTCTCTTGTTGCTAAGATATGATTTAAACCAGTCAACAGACCCAGTGCCAGTAGCCAGCAGTTTTTCACACAGTATATCATGATCGACTCTACAGGTAATAGTAAATTAGATACAAGCTTACCCAGTGTGGTGTTGCTGGACCTTGAGGTGGTTGAGGAAGTCGTCAGAGCAGTCCATCTCAATGTGACGCCAGTGGTGGTGAAGGTAAAGCTGGATGACACATTCAAACTGAGAAACCTGATGCAAAAGTTCCACAAAACCTGGAAGACTTTGAGGGTCATTACTGATGTCCAACTCTATGTTTTCCACCTTAACAAATTTCAAAAGCGCAGATGCAGCTTGAATATTCCCGTCCCTTACCTTCCAACGGTCTTTGAAGATGACCTTACTAATATGTTCTGCCAGCACAGGGTTACACTCTGCCTCAGTTAACACATTTAGCCACTGCTCTGGGTTTCTGACTCCCGATTTTACTAAAAAGTTCACTATTTCTTCTGCATATTTTTCTAACATGTTGCTCTTCTTTGTTAAAAGGCCCGCTAGATGCATTAATATATTCTGGTATTTATTGAGATGCAGTTCCTCTTGTTCCTCCTGGTTTAGTTCCTCAATAACCTCATATATACTTTTAGGTTTACTTAATGCTGCAGAAATTCGGTTTTCAGCAAACTTGATAATATCTGTGCAGACATCAGCAGATATGTATCTGGTTTCCAAGGCCTTTTTTATTCCTCTAGTTATATTTTCAATAGTTTTCTCCACATCAGTTTTGGTTAGGGTTGTCAAGATGTATAGTGCGGAATAGAAATCTTGTATTCCTTTATGAGGAAAACTAAATCTCTCCGAATACTCAGATTGTGTGTAACTCTCCCTGTGAGTCAGTGTGGCAGAAAATAACTCGGCTGATGGCAGATGGAGCTTCCTGCAAACATCTACTAAGTGATCTATACTTTCTCTTTCCAGGGATAATTTATCCTTTTGTAATGCTAATAAACTTTCTCTGTACAAAGCTTCTAGGAATTCGGTGTATCGCTTTTCAATACTTTCTACACACAAATCTTGTTTTTTTCTGTTCAGTCTTTCTATCAGCTTTTCCTGTGTAAACTTCATGTAAGTAGTATAGAGACTGGTTGCAGATGTTAACCATTTCACTGCATTAGGATGTGCAACCCAAAGATACGTCATTAGGACCAGATTAAGTGGAAGGCGAAAATGTTCCGAGAGGCGAGGCGATGTCCTTAGAAAGTTGATAAGACCTTCGGTATCTTTTGTGCTCATTCCGCTTCTCTTCATCCCCTGATCCAACTTTGTGACAAACTCAGTCATTCTGTCCTTTGAAATCCCAGCCAGCTTCAAGTGACACAGTTCAACACCTGAGGGAACCATCTTGTACAAGACGGAAATGCTCTCTGGTCGTGTTGTGCAGATCATACGCAGGTTCTCTGTGTTTCCCTTAAAGTGTTTGTGAAGTAATTCATTCACCAGCCTCTTTGAAGAGCTGTTGAGCTCATCTAAACCATCTACTATAACCAGGACCTTTAAGCTCAACACAGATTTGATCAAGTCCTCGTCTTTAAAATGAAGTGAAGTCTTGGGTAGTCGAGACAACAAGAACTCCATGAAGCTGGTAATGGTAGAGTCACGGCATCTGATGTGAAACAATAAATCACACTGATCTAATCCAGAAATTAAATTACTGTGCTTTGACCAGTCAGACAGTAACAGTTTGCACAGAGTCGTTTTGCCTGTCCCAGCAACTCCTTCCACTAATATAATAGATGGTTTCTTTCCAACACTGTTTCTGATATCAAGAATATTTTCATAATTTGGCTCCATGCTTATCTTCTGCCGAGTATCATAAACCATTTCTATTTTTGTGAAAATTGATGATATCTCCAGACTCTTACCTCCAGTGAGTAATGTGACTGGGTCTACCTGAGACTCCATCTCATATATTCTTCTAAGTTCACTTGTACCAGAGTCACTTAATATCATCTTCATGTGATCGATAGCTATACCATTGTTCTTACTGTGCCACTGGAGAGCAGCTGGAGAAAGAGGGGAGTCACGAGTCTCATTTATCAGATCATTGATGTGTCTGATGTGTTCTTCAATTTCCTCGCATGGTTGTTGATACAGTGAGCCAGCCACTTTTAGAGAATTTGTCAGCAAATTTCTTAATTCCTCCATTTTTTTTACCATTTCATTTTGTGTCATGTTCTGTAGGTGGCTGTGAAACACAATATTTCTAAGTTGTTTTAAATCATTGATGATAGATTCCAGTCGAGAATCATCGTGAGTTAACCAGATAGGGTCGTGTTTGGGTGCCAAGTTTGCACACGCTAACTGAATACAAATAAAAAGTAAAGTGATGTCATATGTTTTGCCAGTGTGATCTGTCTCTATTTTGTGTATTTGTGCCTTGTTGAAGTTCCTTTGAAATATTTTAGTTGGCATCCCCTTACAATTCACAAGATACTCTCTGAGGGACATTCCTTCAGGTTTCTGACATCCCCACTGAAAGATCTTACACAGGGTATCTTTACCGCTCGAGTTTATTACTGAACTCAAGCGAAATACGTGAAGTTCTTCCTCACCAATCTGATAACTGTGTAGCTGCTTAAATTTACTCATTATAGTGTGTGGAATTCAAAAGCTGTATTGCTTAGTGATTATAAACTTCATGTAATGCGAGTTTTAACAATTCCAGCAGCAATTTGATAAAAAAGAAAAAAAAAAGAAGTTCAGTCCATCACCTATGCAATAGTACTGTATACTGTAATGTTATACCTCAATTTTGGTAAGGACAAATTCTTTAATAATTTAAGTTACCATACAGTCCATAATTCCAGTCATGCCTTCTGATGTGTTTTGAGAATGTATTATCTTGAATTTTCTGAAAAGAAAAGGAGAAAGAAATTAGTTCAGTGACCCGAGTGTGTGGCATATTGACACACACTTAGGATGAGAATGAAAAAAGTTTTGAAGTTATTCTATTATGTACTGTACTATTAGGTCGTCCAAAACACCTACTAGTACTTAAGCCACAACACTTCTCTGCTCCTTTAATCTTATACCCTTCATCTGCCTCAATAGTCATATTAAGTCAATAGGTGTGAAAAATGTGAGCTTTCCAAAAAAATCTGTGAAAGTCAGATTCTTTGTATAGTTGGAAGTCTCAACACAATACAGTTAAGGTTAAGTTGGGGTAACTACAGGATAACAAAGAGCATACAGTACTGTACAGTATAAGATGTTCACCAAGGATGATAATGTTCAGAATTGGGTTTGTCATACATAATGTTCACCAATCATAAGTTGACTTACTACAAACTGGAGATAATTGGAGGATGAAACTGATAGGTGCCGGTGCATCCTTCCGTAACCCGTTTTTCCAATAATTGAAAACCAGTTTTTAAAGTGCACAATGGAAATCATATCTTGAGTTTGCCATACATTGCTACATATTATAGGTATGTGACAAACACATTTTAAGTGCATAAACATCAGGTCCCCAAACAGCCTGTGTCACTCAGTACTGTACAGGATATAGTTGAGATGACTGATTTAATCATTTAGAACACACAACCAAATCCATGAACACTCCTTTAACCTGAGTGAAGTGAAGAATGTTTTTAAACTAAGGGACAAACATTATAGCAAGGAAAAACTGTAATGCACTGTACAGTATGGTTATGAGGCCATTAAGATAGGGTGCTGTAGTTATTGTAATGTACAAGTAAACTGTAACAGAAAACCAAACGAAGTACAGTTAGTGGGACTAGGTATTAATATGAGAAAAATACTGTAAATTTAGATAACAAAAAATGTGATACAGGTACAGTACTTTGGTTGTAAAATAAGTTAATGTTGAGGGTAAAAAGGCTGGAGGAAGGTATGGGCTGGGAAGGGTGAATGATATGAACACCTCTTGACTGATTAATGTTTATTGTATACAGGTAACTGATTTTTGTCTGTGGAAGTTTATAACTTTGATTAATTAGGTTTCACCCATGCCAGTTTTATGCAACATTGTCTGATTATAGGGTATAAAATTAATTTCAGCAAATTCATAAGATAAAACCTTTGCTTATTAGCTGTTCAGTCAGTTGGTCTGTTATTCATTACATTGTTATGAACTTTATTGTCCAGTGTTAGTACAGGAGGTAGAGTCTCACTGGATAACTATAACATCCTTCCCACATGTGTCCGGGCCAAGTAGGATTCAAACTCATGATGTAGTAATGTGAGATTGCGTGTTATCGCTGTACCACCAACACCTTCATGGTCGAATTACCTTACTTTTTACTATTGTTATGTACCTGCACTGTCTAGGTATACATTAGAAATAGTGTACGTCCATGGTTTATATATACTGTACGTACCTTTACACCTACGTTGTCAATATACATGTTGTACCTGCATTGTCTGTATACATGCCAAACCAGTAAACTTGTATTGTGATATTATTGAATAAATTTCTTCTTCTTCTTCTTATTATTATTATTATTATTATTATTATTATTATTATTATACAATTAAATGCTCTTATCCAAAATTTACTATATATATATATATATATATATATATATATATATATATATATATATATATATATATATATATATATATATATATATATATATATATATATATATATATATATATATATATATATATATATATGCTTGTAGGGGTATCGAGAGATTAATGTTGTCTAGCACTCAGGATGGAAGGAAACTATAATGTGGTTTTCTTGTATAATATATAAGTTATATGATAGACAGTCTGGTGCTGGAGATGCCGTGTGGTGGGGAGCTGCTCAGTAGAAGACGTTCAGTGAGTAGCGTGTTGAAGGAGGTAGATGTGCAGGAGCTTCGTTAGAGAAGATGTTGCCTGTTGCTGGCCTCCTGGTTGAAATAAATGTTAACAGCGTGGAGCTTGCTGGAGGAGGTGTTGCTTGTTCAGGAAGAATGGTCAGAATGAATCTCAATGGAGAGACAGAGCTTATATACCCAGCAGCAGCCGCTATGAGTCATGTTGGGAAAAACCCGAGAAGTCGCCGGTGACTGGTTCCGTTGCTAAGATACGGTAACATCTGGTTGGTTGCTAGGGAAGGCGGCACATTGGAATGCCATACGCAGTTTGTAGGGGAGACGTCCACTACATGCTCCTCGACTTACGAACGAGTTACGTTCCTGAGGCTTGTTTGTAAGTCCAACTTTACTCTTGTAGATACCATACATATTGTAAAAAAAAATTTAAAGATTGTGGATATTTAGTACAGCTATACCCTATAATACAGCCTTAAAACCTGGCTCACTCTTCTCCTCTTAGGTAATGTTTGTTCTTTCTGAAATTTGTTCTTTCTGAAATTTTCTTCATAATAATCCAGTCTCATCCACATTAAACACCTGTTCTGACAGATAACCCCCCCCCCCCCTCAGTGATGATGTTTGTAGCTCTGAAAGTTTGTAAGTTGAACGTTCTTAAATAGAGGGGGAAATTCGTAATGTGGCACCAAAGAATTAAATGACAACTTGTCCCGCGTGACGTCAACTGCATCTTTCCGTGAAATCGCCGTGCTAGAGCACTGAAGGTGGGGAAGACATTTAGTTGCATGGTGAAGTGAATCCAAGTACAGCATTAGTGTTGATACAGTTATATGTTGAGTACTATCGGTTGAGGAAGCCACAAGTTTTTAAAACTTTGGACTGAACTCTTGGAACAATCTGCCAGTGTTGTAATGGCAGTATGGCACTGAGTGTAAGCTCATTTAAGACCGGTAACCAACATTGACGCAGGTGGAGTCAGTACATGTCCGAGTTTCTGTATGCAACGGAGACATGACCGACCGCCCATGAGGCTAACAAACCTGTCTGGCGAAGAAGATAAAATAAAGTAAGAATGGAAGAACAGAATGGTGCTCAGAAACCAAATCAAAACATAACTACATAATTATGAACACGGTAAGTTGAAACACGTTATAACTTGTTAATGAGTAGCGAAGAGAATAAAAGACACCGAGCTTCCCGAGATGGTCGTCACATCTGTATTTATACTTTTATTTTATCCTTCGCTAATCTACTGTGGAGTTCTATTTTTAATCACACAATAAGTTGTCTCGAAGCATCTAATAGTATATGTATTTTAGGACATGTGAAAATTCTAAGCGAAAACCACATTTAGAGTATATTATAATTATTGCCACAGGAAGCTCAACTAACTCACCACGGACCCCTACTACCACCACCACGTTTGTCAGCTGTCCAGGGCTCAAGGTTCCCAAGTGTCTCCAGACGCACTTAGAATTCTAATATTTATTATTCTCTAAGTGTTACTAAAAGAAGGTATGTGAATAAGATTAGAGTCTCGGTTTAATATTATATGCAATTCTGGATGTAAATTTTTGTATCAGACAGTTTGGAGAGTTCGTACAACAGAGGATAAAGTTAAAGTAAATTTGTAATGTAACATGAAGCAACTCCCCAGTTTCGCCATGTTACTACAAATACATCACCCTGAGCATTCACTCCCTCACGCAAGCGGTGTTTAGCCACTGCACCTATTCTCTCCTAAAATTCACTTCAATCCTTCCTTTATTCTTCCCCTGAACCTCCTTCCCCACTGTCACTAGAAATTTTATATATATATTTACGTATCCCCACTGCCAGATTCAGTAACTTCCTACCCGTTGTTCGTACACATTACTATATTTTTCCTGTTATAATTGACTCCATGCAGACACCATACATTTTATATAACGTGATTGATGATATTTTTCTTGAATGTGGCTGCAAGAGATCATGAAGTTCTACAAACGTTGGATATATTGATATGGCAGATATGCATAATGGAAAAGGTTAAATATCCGTAAGACGACGTGTCCAGAAACGCCAAGTAAAGCTTTTGACAGCCTTCTTGGGTTTTCCATAGTTGAATAGACATACTGTTTACCATAACATATCTACATTGCGTTAGTGTTTACTGAACTAATGTGAACTTGTAAGGCGATCTTACTGAATAAACATTACTGTACAGTATCTAGTTATGGATACTAAGGCATGTTTGTCCCTCTGGGACAACTATGATTGACATGAAACATGAAAAAATATTAAGTTGGGTAAACCTGGAAGGCAAGTTGTGTCAAGAAAATGTTATTACAAATAATAAGTTGGTTTAAGTGTTAAAATTACTACTAGCGGATGTAAGACAATGTTTTGACTCATCGAGTTTCAAAGGCTCCGTTACCAGCCGTATAACTAAAAATAATTTCAGGTCTTCACTTACTTTAACCCTCAAAACAGAAGGGCAAGTATCTCTAGATTACTTAAGAATCAGTCTGTGGCCACATTTGAAGGTCATTTATGCCACTTTCCCTCCAAAACTGGACGTTGAAAGACGCGATGTGGCAACTGCACTAATATTGGTGGAATACTGACTGCTGCCTGTGCTGCGAGACTGTGAGTGTGACAGGGAGGCGTAGTGGCGCTATGTTGCCAGTGTTTCCATCACAAAACCCCAACGGGGTTGTCATTTGTCAACACTAACCTAACCTAACCTAAGCTTAAAAGTGTTTTATTTTATATTTTATATATGAGACTGGGTTGTTGTCCGTTGTGGTTTTATCCGGTCACCGTTGCCAGTAACGATGGGAATATAAAGTACGCCATAGCTCGGTGTCTGCAGATGCAGCAGCAGAAGGATAGTACTGGTCCATTCAGAAGCTCGTGAAACACTAGCAGTGGAGGGTCAGGGTGCATACTATCCTATGGGAATGGGCAGCAGGTCAACACGCTGAACCAAAGACATAATACTAGGGTTGCCATACGTCCGTATTTTCCCGGACATGTCCTCCATTTAGGTCTCGAAATCTTCATCCGGAAGGAATTTTTAAAATTCTTCAAAAGTCCGGAATTTCACCTTCCATCATTTTCTCCACGAAAAAAAAACATGAAACTGTAATGACGAGAGAGAGAGAGAGAGGGAAGGTGGAAACCGTAGAGATCTCGTTCAGTTTTCGTCAGCTGATAAGTCACGTGGACGCCTGTACGGTGTTGTCAACTTAGCTGTCAAATATTTGATTGATAAGGGGGTAGAAGTTGATGAAGTGTTTTGACCAAGTTAGTAACCTTAAGCAGTTTGTGGAAAATTACAAGAGTGATGAAGAATTCAGTAATCTGCCAACACATAAAAAGTGGACCAGATACTTTGAAAAATCTAAGAACATTGAATGCCGCTCAGAATTACACAATTCTTCTTTGCTATATCATCTCACAATGCAAATGTAGAAAGAGTTTTTTCACTGATGCAAAGTCAATGGACAAAGGAAAGGAACAAATTGAGTGTTGAAACAATGAAAGGCATTCTGACTGTACAGTACAACTTCCGAGAAACACCTTGCAGTGACCTCTATACCTTTCTAAAGAGCAATCAGCCAATACTGAAAAAGATCCGATCTACAGAAAAGTGTGCATGGGCACATCAAGTCACACACACAGTGGGGGAAGAAGACTGCAGCTAAGGGAATGAAGATGTTCAGCCTTAAGCAAAGGTATTTTTTTTTTTTTAAGATTTCTATACCATGTATGTTGTATATTAGCCTGTGTGTGCCGGGCGGGAGGGGGGTGGGGATGTCTTCGGGAGCGTCCTCTTTTTGGAATGTTCAGATATGGCAACCTTACATTATACTCAAGACATGAATGAGTGTAAAATAGTCGGTAATGATACTAGCTGGGATCTCACGACACAGTGGTCAGAATCTTTGAGCTGAACCTCCCACCACCGTGAATTTCCGTGAAACTGGCAACTGAGCAGTTTGATTTTAAGACTCGCGGAAGGATATCGACCAACGTTACTGATAATGGATGACGAAGAATTACATGTTTTAATATATTGTTTATAACAAGAAAACCATAGTGATAGGAGTATCCACCTACCTACCAAATTGTGTTATCTACTGCATTCTTTTACCTTTTACTTTTATCCTCTTCACCACTGATCGAGCAGGCTTGTTAGCCGCTTGGGTGTACGGACAAAACCCCAGTCTCATATATAAAATATAAAATAAAACACTTTTATGTTAGTTTAGGTTAGGTGCTTCTATATGTCGCTTTGTCGGTCTGTCGGTCGATCGGTAGAAAACTGTCGGGGTTTTGTCATGGATTCACCGCTTGGGCGATCGGTCACGTCTCTGTCACGCACTGTTGGCAAGTACTAGGCTTGCACCGGCTCCTGAATGTACCTGAACCCGCTCCAGTGTTGGTCAAGTCTTGTCTTGAAAGAGCTCACACTCGGTGCCGTCACAACACTCTCTGGTAGATTGTTCCAAGAGTTCACAACTGAATGTATACTTGTGAATATCGGTGTATACGTGTTTATAGACGTGTGCATTTATGTTAATACATAGTATATTAATGTAGTATATGTGGGGTTAATTTCACCTAGTCGACGAAACAGGTGAGTTTGGGGAAAGAATGCACCAACGTTTCTATACGTATAACAACGTTTCTATACGTATAACAACGTTTCTATACGTATAACAACGTTTCTATACGTATAACAACGTTTCTAAACGTATGTTCAACGTAATCTTGAGCATTTCTGTCTCAGGGCCAATTGCAAAAACATCCGCGGTGTACACCATGCTGCAAGAAGCTACTACGTCACAGCAGTTACTATGGATTCTGGCGTGGTAAATGTTGGAAAATTACCACAAACTGAACGACTAATATTTTTTCTTGAAGTTAGATGACATAAATAAACAAGACCAAATATAACGTAATTAAAAGCTGATTTAGTATTATTCGATTAGTTTTGATGGACTAAAATTACTTTTGGTACCGTATAGCTTCTTTTTTTTAGTTTAACAAATTTATTGACAAAGCCTGGAGTACAGTTTGCTTATTCCGAGTAATTCAGTCAAGTCTTGACACTTGTCACTGTCACGCAGGGCAGAAGTTAATACACAAAGAAATACATCGTATTCATTGACAGCATATATATATATATATATATATATATATGCAAGTAAATCACTGTAGGTGCGCGTGATCCAAGCATATGCTGATAACCACAAGGAAACAAGAAAACACGAAGTTCCCAAGCGCTTTCTAATTCACATCTTCAGGGGTGAGTACAGACTAAGGAGTAATACTTGACAAGGCTAGTACACATACACATACACACACACACACACATATATATATATATATATATATATATATATATATATATATATATATATATATATATATATATATATATATATATATATATATATATATATATATATATATATTGTAGGTAGACGGATACATATGCTTAGAATTGAGTGAATGTTTTAGTCTTAGGCATTTTCTTGTGATTAACAGTTCTGCATATAATGTAACGGTACAATATATAGTACACTTATACTTTACATAAACAGTTCAATTATACCAAGACAGTGCATAATACTTTACAGGTACTGTATATTAACAGTACATGTATACCGGGAGGGTGCGAGTACAATATACACCGCGTCACTGTTGCATAATAAGCACTAATCCAGTGTCATGGAAATACGATAATTATTTTACAACTGTGATTATACCACACCTAAAATGTAATTGTGAAAATGTATTAATCATGGCTTTGTGAAAAACTGTAGAAATTTTCAAGATATAAATACGATGTGGCAATATTGTTATGGACATTCTAGTTCTAATGTTGTTCTTGTGCTTCAACAAGTTAAGGTCTTTAAATGTATTTACACTAGTCCATTAACAATAAATAAACTGTAAGATTTAAGATTTTTCCGATTTCAGATTTATCGGAACTTATCGGAGCAGAGGATACAGTACACGTGAGGTGACAACACAGAACAAATCAAACAAGATTATTAGATTACTGAATATTTCTTTGGACTTGGGCTATTAAAGGGAAGAAATACCTGTAAATAATATTATGCATGACCTAACGTGGCAGTATTTAAGGATGTATCCTGTAAAGGATATAGCTTGGAAGGTAAAGTATACTGTACTGTCCATGTACATTGTAAAGAAACCAATGATGCTGTGCTTGTTGCATCCCTAGACCCAAAATCCTGGGAATGGGACAACTGGCCGCCGCCATCTGGCCGCCGCGGACTGGGGGTAAACTGCAAACGCCTAATTTTGCGCTCTCAAGGCAGGTTAGGTTAGGTTAGGTTAGGTTAGGTAAGGTACTTCATGGGCTGCGGCCAGATGGCGGCGGCCAGTTGTCCTAGACCCCAAATTCCTTTGTCAGTCATTTAAATTGTCGAGTCGAATTATATTATTGGTTGTATTTTCATGATATTATTTAAATTACACCCCTATTTTGTTAAATGATTATAAGTATAGCTCATACCAGTTTCCAATAAGTCTGTCATTTTTTCCAGGGTTTTTTCCCTACACATTCAGATAAATTATTTTCTTACCGTAGGAACAGGTGTAAGATACTATTTAAAAGCATGACGAAAAACATAGTTTTAAAAATATGTTTTAAGTTAATATATGGGCACAATTGCGGAGTTCCTGATGAAGAGAGATGCTTAGAGAAATGAGTTATATGCGGGTAGTAATAGTTAAGGATAAGGGTCCGGTTTAACCAGTTACCTGACAAAAAATCTCTATAGATGAAAAATTATTTTTTATCTCAAGAATTATGCAAATCAAGTTGAGGAATTATACTTTTCATAATTTTTTTCCATAAATTAAGACACTCCATGACTGTCTCCAACTTGGACAATTCAATGAAGTTAAATCCCATGGGGAAACTTTCGTCGTGGCCCTCGACATCTCCAAAGCATTTGATAGGGTATGGCACAAGTCTTTGCTTTCCAAACTTCCCTCCTGTGGTTTCTCTCCCCCACTTTGTTCTCTACTTTCTAGCTTCCTTGAGAACTGATCCATGGCAATTGTTGTCTAGGGATTGATCTCTTGCTCATTCTTTTCCAATAGTGGTGATCCCACAGGGTTCTGTTCTTTCACCTACTCTCTTCCTTCTTTTTTATCAGTGATTTACTTCACAATACTACTAATTCTATCCATTCTTACACTGATGATTCTACTCTTCACTCTTCTTCACACTTTCCTCTTCTCCCTAATGAGGAGGTAGAAACTTGGTTAAATTCAATGGTAATAAAACTCAGTATTTACCAATTGCACTTTCTAAATTAGATGATCTCCCACCAATCACATTTCAGGATGCAATCATTCTGCCAAATTCTAAAATATATATGCTAGGCCTCACCATTTCCTTTAATATGTCATGGAAGCCACACATCCTCAACATTACGAAAGCTGCCTCCCGAAAGCTAGGAATGCTGTACAGATGCAGTAGCTACTTCACTCCTGAGCAGTTGCTTCAAGTTTATAAGGGATTCATTCATCCTAACTTGGAGTACTGCTCTCATATCTTGAGTGGCTCCTCTTCTGTCCAACTTTTAGATAGGGTGGAATCAAAGGCATTTCATCTTATTAGCTCTCCTCCTTTAGTTGATAATCATTCTTCCCTTTCTCTTCACTGCAATGTTTCTTCACTCTGTCTCTTTTACAAGTACTTTAACAGGCATCCTGTGTACCGCCGGCGAGGCCGTGGGCTAGTAGCACATGTCTTGCCCGCGGTGCACACCTTTTCTCTGTGGATGTAGGTCGCACTAGAATAACCTATTACTTATAGTACATGCTTCTTTCCTCACACAGCCAAACTGTAGAATGCGCTGCCTTTTTCTGTGTTTCCACACTCTTGCAATCTGTTTCACTTCAAAAAGCTGGTTTTCCGGCATCTTCATGGTGTAGATTAATATAATCTATTTCTTTTCTATTTTTAATTTCTTTTTACTCTTATTTTTTCGCCCCCTAGGCCCCATTGTGGGTCGATGACCTGTGCCCGGTCGGGCTATTCCTGTAAAAAAAAAAATATATAATAAAAATAACTTTACTGTATTGTCTTTCAGGATATCCAGACTACACTTCAAAAACATGAAAATTCTGATGCAGAGTGGTTTCAGAAAAAGCTTCTTGACTGCACAGTTCGTCACCCAATTGCTTTGAAATATCCTGTGTCTTTGGGATACAGTCAACTCTTCCTTAAAACACTCTTGTCTAAGGTACAAGTAATACTGTACTTATATTAGACTATAAGGGGTTATCATACCATGGCTCCAGTACAGTTGCATTTACAATTGCTGATTTTTACGGTTTTTGCCCTAGTACTTTGTCTCCTTTGAAAATGTCACATATTCCCAGAATGACTACTGTACTGTCAGCCAATGATAATCTAACCTAACCTCATCTAATGGGAAGTACCGGTAGACAAAAAGGGAGAAGATGGACTGGGATGTTACCATTGTTTACATACATATGAGTGATAGTTATGGGCAGACTGGGAGATAGTTTTTTTGTAGTTAATTTTCTGGCCTTAATAGATATCTTGAGTAAGGCCTCATTCTTGTTAGGAACCCAAAGGTTAAATCCACATGCTTGTGTGTGTAGTACATAGATCACATAATCAATATTCATTAAAAAATGAGAAAATAAGTTAAACCCCATACTGTATTTATGAGATTACAGTACAGGTACAATTGTAAACATGCAATTGATCTTTGGGTTATAGATTACTGTAGTTAGGGTAGGATTGTTACCTTCTTTTCCTTGAATAATTGAAAATTTTGACATTTATTTTTGGTGTAGGTCCTTTGTACATGTTCATAAGATCACAGAGCATTGTCTGTCACACATGAACTCACTTGAGAACTATGTTATTTACATTAAGAAGGAAAGATTGTAATGATGCAGACAGTAGTATTGAATTAATTATTTTGTATTTTCGTTTATTATTATTTTTGGGGTGATGGTTTTCCTGAGACATAAGTTTCTGACGTAAGTTAGCAGTTGTTATGCCACCAATTTGTCTGTTTTGTGTTTATATACTGTACTGAGTCACATTTGTAGTTGATGTGGAAAAATAGAATAGATAGATAAACAGTATAGCGCGAATTCTTAATGTTCGACTGTACTGATAAGAGATCTAAATATTATTACAGATTGAAGAGTGCAGTGAAGAGGTATTAGAAGATGTATATTTTGCCTACACAGATATACTCTCTCGGGAGATGTCCCCTTCTTGCGGCGACAACTTCTGTTACCGGACGTACTATTTTAGTGAATCTCTCATCATAACCCTGAAGGAAACATCCAACCTTGTTTGTGATGGCACAACAGGCATGTGTACTTGGGAGGTTAGTTACTGCCTTCATTTGTGATACTGTAATGTCATTTAGATCAATTCGTCTTTATGAACTGAGAACTGAGTGATGACATACATAAGAATAACAGGTGTGTAAAACATTACTACTCGTCCAGTCAATAAAGTAACGTTGGGTCTAGTTAGTACTCTACTTGGAGGGTAACTGCCTGGAAACACCAGATGCAGTTGGGATAAAGACCCTACTGGAAATAAGCATCTCATGGCTTTGTCGGTTATATATAACCCAAGCTGTTGGGTTGGCCAAGATGTAATTACCACAATAAATCAATAAATCCTTGAATAAATTAATTAACAGGCTATATTTTGAGAGGGAAATTTAAAGTAATACCCAAGTGAGGATAAAAGAAAAGTAAAGTGATAAGGTTACCTGTTGGCAGCTATGCAGTGGCCAACTCTTGTGAGGAGAGTTTGCCAGTGAAGTGAGGCATCTCAGTTAACTTTTATTGTATTGCTTTTAAACCGATTAAAAATGTGATATTATAATATAGTCTAACACTGGTCATTATAGTACTGTACTGTAGTATTTAAATACCTGGTAAGTACTTATGAAATGACTTTGACAGTGTCTTTGGTGTAGTTATAGCTGAAGGGAGACTTTTGTTTTACAGGCTAGCCATGTTTTAGCAGAATGGTGTTGCAAGGAGGCCCATCGCTTTCAAGATAAAAATGTTTTAGAGCTTGGGGCTGGTTTGGGCCTGTTGGGTTTAGCTGTTGTGCAGAGCTGCAAGCCTTCATCATACACCTTTACTGACTTACATCCTTCAGTCCTAAACACATTAACTGAAAATGTCCAAATTAATCTAAATAAAGTGCCACATGACAAACAAAGTGCACCTAACAAGGATATTTGGGTAAGTTGCTCCTTATTAGTATAACATGACCCATGAAATTTAACTGTAAATTAAGTTTGCAACCTTTTTATCTTATTTATTGTTGATTATATCAGGATTTTTTTCATGTTAAAGGATAAAGGATTCATTTAGTTTATCATTAACAGGCTATCATGAGTGATCTATAAGGCTACAATGCTATTACTAAATACTTTCTGTTCTTCAGTTATGGTTACACAATGAAAGCCTGCCACACATAACACATCCAGCCATTGAATTCTGGATTGTTCTACTCCAGGAAAGATTCAGGCTCATGGAGTCAAAGAGAACTGACTGTTTCATCAGGTCTTGTGTTATGAAACCCTCTTGGGCCTTAAAAGGAAATTGAAATTCCCTTCATTTCTATCCTTTTTTGTAACTATACAATAAAACCTTGATATAACAGACTTCTCTCTCCATATAATCCTTTTTGCAGGTAGTAGGTAGTAAGCAACTACCAAACAGGGAGGTACTACCGCCTGGGAAGATATTGGAAGCATAATGTGTTGTCTAACGGTAGACCTTGCTGCCATATGGCATCACAAAAATTGTGACCAAATCCTAGGTTGCTGACCTGACTTTCTGCCTCATTTACACACAATTGCAGGGTCTCAGTTGTTTCTCTTACTTGGACAACATAACATACATAATGTATATCGTTTCTCACTCTTGAATTATTTTTTTTCGTTTTTGTATTTATTATTATTATAATTATTATTATTATTATATATACAGTACGGTATATATATTTTTTTAATTTGCTGTTAATTTTATTAATTGTTGTAATAAAAATAATAGATAGTAGTTATTATTATTATTTATTATTAACATATTTTTCGCCCCCCAGGCCCTGATGTGGGTCAGTGATTTGTGCTCAGGTGGGCTAATCCCCGTAAAAAAAAGAAAAAAAAAAAAGATGGGGATTTCACATCTGACGGACACCTCGATATAACGGACAACTTTTCTTCTCTGTATAATCCATTAAATATTTAGGTTTCATTCTACTGTATTTCATTATCAATGTGAGATTTAAAAGATCAATAGAAAATACACGTACTCAATTCTTCTTTCCCCGGTGCTTGAAATATTGGACTAAGCTCCTACAAATGGATAGTGAAATAATATCTCATAATTTCTTTCAGGTTGATGAGATTACAATGAAGTACAACAACACTGATGCTCAAATACGGAGATTAGACTGGGAGAGTGACTCATTTGATGACCAACTTGATGTTATTCTTGCTGCAGGTAAATGTATTAGTTTCTGATGTGTTGAGAAATAGTTTTGCATATATATATATATATATGAGGTTTGTCCAAAAAGAAACCAAACTTTTTAAAAAACAAATTTATTGCTTTACTTACAACCTACTCAGACTTGTCTCCTTTAAAGTACTCCCCTCCACTGTTGATACACCGCTACCAAGTTTTTCCCAGTTCTGGAACGCCTCCTGGAATGCGTTTTGAGGGATGGTGAGCAGGTCTCGTAGCGAATTTTCTTCTATCTCTTCTATCGTCTGAAATCGGTGACCTTTCTGGGTGGATTTCAACTTTGGGAACAAAAAAAAGTTCGCAGGGGCTAGATCCGGAGAGTAGGGCGACCGAGGGACGATAGTCGTCTCGTGCTTCGCCAAAAAGTCACAGATAAGGAGCGACGCGTGAGCAGGTGCATTGTCATGGTGCAGCATCCAGGTCTTGTTTGTCCATGCCTCAGGCCTCTTCCTTTGCACTGCCTCCCTCAAACACTTCATGACCTTCAAGTAAAAATTTATTGATTGTCTGACGACGTGGAACAAACTCATGAAACGGCGCCCTTCCAATCAAAAAAGACGATCAACATCACCTCCACATTTGAGCGACTCTGATGTCCAGATTTCGGATCGTCTTCGGTGGATGTTCTTCCCCTTTTGAAATGCTGGTACCTCACGTGACATTGCGTATGGCTCAAACAATCATCCCATAAGCCTGTTGTAACATTTGAAAAGCCTCCTTAAAAGTTTTTCCCAATTTGAAACAGAATTTCACGCAAACACGTTGCTCCTCAAGATCCTTCATTGTTCAACTTGCAACAAATCACCAAGTGCACTAAACACACGTTCACTCTAGCACGTGTAGCTTGATAACTAATTGACATGGCGTGATGAGGCTAGTCTTAGACTAAAGGTCAAGGTCACCACTACACAGTGCTCCCATCGTGAGCACGCTGCGCCGGCTTGTTGGCGCGCTATTTAAAAATTTCTGTTTCTTTTTGGACAGACCTCTTATATATACAGCTCCTCCCCGCCTTACGACCTACTCGACTTACGACCAGCCGCACTTACGACCTGCCTCAGTCGTACCAAAATTTTGTCAAATTATGTATTTTTGAGTCACAACGTCAGTACAGAGACAAAATTGTTGTTTGTAATTCATTTTAAAATGGCTGGCAAGCTTAAAAGTGAGAGATTTTTGGTGCTGAGAAGAAAAAGAGACACCCATTTTAGAATTTATATGTATTATTCAAGCATTTTTTACTTACGACCTGGATTTGGGTCCCTAACTCCGTCATGAGTCAGGGAGGAGCTATATATATATATATATATATATATATATATATATATATATATATATATATATATATATATATATATATATATATATATATATATATATATATATATATGTATGTATGTATGTATGTATGTATGTATGTATGTATGTATGTATGTATGTATGTATGTATGTATGTATGTATGTATGTATGTATGTGTATGTATGTATGTATGTATGTATGTATGTATGTATGTATGTATGTATGTATGTATGTATGTATGTATGTATGTATGTATGTATGTATGTATGTATGTATGTATGTATGTATGTATGTATGTATGTATGTATGTATGTATGTATGTATGTATGTATGTATATATATATATATATATATATATATATATATATATATATATATATATATATATATATATATATATATATACTTTTTTATTGAGTTCTGGTGTTTTGTCTTTCAGATGTGGTTTATGACACCGAGGTTATCAGACAGTTAGTGAAGACATTGATGGGAACGCTAAGCAAGCAACCTGGAATAGCTGTTTATATAGCCAGCACTGTGAGGAACCCAGATACATACAGTTACTTCAAGGAGTTATTGGGTAAAGTCTAAACATAAGCCTCTTATTTATATACATACCTAACTCTAATATACACAACTGTACAGGTATATGTCTGTGGTGACTCTTGGGTACGCTGTTTACATTCTCGCCGTGCGGTTAAGAGGACTTGTTTTTTATTCTAGTGCACGATAAAACTTTGGTCAAGTTCCTCTGGCCCCGTGGTCTCCCCAGCAGGAATTTTGGAGACCTGGAATGAACCTTTTATATTGTAATACCCGATTAAAATAATCCTAATTTTCAAACTCCTGAGTACCTCGTACAATAAATAGTCACTCACAGAAGTCCATTTGCTTTTACCCTGAACCACGAACCCTGAGATTCAGACTCATGAACCCAAAGCATTTATGGACAGAATAATTATCAGTCTACTACTTCGAGTTCACGAGTCTGAATCTCAGAGTACAGTATGTGGTTCATGGGGGAAGGCGTTTGTACATATCCTCTTTGTTGAGACTTGAGTAAACTCCCTCCCTTTATCCTGAAAGATCTGAGTAGGAACCTCATTGTCCTTTATCAAATGTCTTTAAGAAATAGTTTTGGTTATATTTATTTGTTAATTATCACCATTGTTTTTTTCAGCATCGAAGAGAGTGGTAACGCAGTCAGAAACACATCATCACCATCAAGCTTCTCCATCACAACCTCAGCTGTCTGTGAACATCCTCCACTTAACACTATAGTATAGTATGTATCAATGTCATTAAATGAAGTACGTACACAGTTATTTCTTTTATCCATTAACTTAAAAAACTTCGTACTTACTTAGGAAACCTGGACTCTTTTCTTTTTTCAACTCCAAGAATTTTTCTATCTTAAATCAAAAGAGTTTTTGTGATAGGTTCTGCCCAAAAGGCTCTTCCAGTACATTGGAGTGGGAAGAATTTTTGAGCATGGGTGGGAGACCTGTGTGTAGAGATGAGGGACAATTTACTGTAAGGTGTGGGAAATTGGAATAAGAATGTTTTAGGAACTAAGAAGCTAAAAATTAGGAGAGAACTGTCCTTCAAGGGTTGTGGGAAAGATTTAAACAAGTCTTTTACACTAAAACCACTTAAACTATCTCTTTCTTTACCATTTTTCAAAGTGTTATAACTTGGAAAAACAAATGTTTTCTAATTTCCAGCAACATTTAACAAAATTATCATAACTTGTACCCCTCAACTCTACACACAGGTTTCTCCTTCAAAGTAAAAAATTCTTCAATCTTCTTCATCTTTCACCTCTACACCACAACCTGAAACTAGAAAAATAAATAGTTAACTAACTATTAAAACTTAACAATACCGTCCATTTGGTTTTTAATTTCCACGAACAACATGGCATCGTCCGCAAACATTTGTCGGAGGAGTGTTGTATAGCTTCTGGCATGTCATTTATGTCCAGTATATTCCTAAACCTTTAACACTTCAGGGCTGGAAGTCGTGAGTTAACGTTTGCCTTGTGTATGAAGAAGACAGTACAGTACAAACATAAGTGGATGAGAGAGAATTTGGGACAAGTGAAGGAATGAAGGAGTTATGATAGGGAATTAAGGTGAAAAACTTAGAGGCTACAGTGGCAGTATTGTAATCAACAAGGTGATAGACTAACTCGTTCATTACTGACTGTTATTGTGTCTTAAAACTAATATACTCATTAGCCTCTAAACAAAGTGAGTAACGTCCTCTATCTTGACACATTTAACAACACATAACACACTTCCACCAGATATTTACATCTCAAAAATCCAATCTAACTTTAGGATAAAAAATCAGTCAGCTCACCCAAGATCCTCTCTGTCCATGTGACTAAGCTGCCCCCTCCACACACACTACATCTTCTCTACCCTAAAAGTCAGCTAACAAAGTCCATTTACCTCTTCCCCTGAACTATTAACTCCTAGATTCAGACTTGTGAACCTGATGCAGTAGACTAATACATTATTCTCTCCATTAACACTTTGGATTTATGAGTCTGAATCTGAGGGTTAGTGGTTCAGGGGGAGAGGCGAACGGACTTTAGTAGTTGACCGTGCATGCTCAACCTTCACTTAACAGACTCACTCCATCATTATCCATCTTGCTGTTTTACCGTTAGTACGCCAACAGTATCCTCGTACCACATATAAAACAATAAGGATCTCAGAGACATACCAAACACAAAAACTAAGTTTATTTGAAGACTACATAAAAAGTCAAACTTGCTGATGATGTCACGACAATGCCTTGTGTTAGTAATCATTGTGCATATGAGGAAGTGCTTTGCATATTGGTAATGATCTGTCTTTCCAAAATTTATAATTGGTGATAGTCATGTATTATACAAGTCATCATCCAAAGGCAAATTTTGGAAAATGCATACAAATATAAATACCGACAATACAGAATGAGTTAATCATGTTAGTATAGTATTTACAGTAATGATACATACAGTGTTCCATAGGAAATAGTCATAGTAATGGTTGTTACTTCACATTACATGAAGTCAAATGCCCAAGTCCTATGCTTTTGTTGTTATTGTCTTGTTAGGGAGAGTACAGTACAGGATGTGAACTGAGACTCAGATACAGTACAAGTTAGTGGACAACATCAAGCAGTCAAACTTTGCTCAGTTGTGTGAGAAATAAAGTCCAATATTGTTTTCTCCAGTTGAGATTATGTCAAAGGAAGGAGTTTTTATAAAGACTTTCAGTACTTAACATTATATGCTGTAAATCTTCAGTGCCACTAGCAGTACCGATGTAGACTCTGTGTTTGGACAACTAATTTACGCTTGTATGTCTATTCATGCATATTGATAATTAACGTAACTATTTTAAGTCAAGTGTTTCACCTATTTTATTGTATTTAAATGAGAAAAGTGCAAAGTTGATAGATTGAGGAGGAATATTTGTTCTACTGTACTTTGCAATAATTGTCTGATCAGAACTGGCCTGGTGCGTCACAGGGGAGAACTGCGGTCGTGTTTGCAATGAGCTTAAGCATACACTGTAGCCATCTGCAATATTATTTAATGCATTTATACTTTATTTGTATATTTTTTTGTAAGTCGATAAAACAAAGCAGATGGTGACAGTTGGTGCAAGCAAAGCACTGTATGAAAGCTGTGTTAGAGAAGCTTATTGGGTATCTGCAGTGGTTTAAAATGTACATTAGCAGTTGTTTACAGAACATCTGGGTTTTTCTAGATATTTGGGTTTTTTACATAATATTTGGATTTTTTTTACAGAAGAGTTGTTTACAGAACATTGGAAATTGTTTATAGAACATCAGCAGTTGCTTAAGGGAACATCAAGGAGGAGGAGGAGGAGGGGGGGGTGTTTACACTGCACAAAGGGTCAGGGGATGTAGTTACAGGGAACACGAGGAGTTGTATCACCAGTCACTGGGTATTGGGGAGAAAGTACTGCAGGGATGTTTCATACATATAAGGGAGACCATTCATTCACTGGTCCTTTATTGACCACGTACTGTAACTTAACACAGTCAACAGATCTTTATACCATTATTAAGTTTGGCCAATATTTACCTTTTAATATTGATGCCAGAATAATTTATACTTATTAATCATTATTTTAGTAGTTATTAATTATGTACAGTATATATTAATTGACTAATTTGGCATTGTACTTCAGATCTTGGATGAATAATATTAGATAAGGAATCATGATTACCCAGAGCTGTAATGTCAAGATGGCAGAAATACTGTAGCTTTGTTAACCTTGTGAGCTGCCGTACCCAACTTTTCTTAAGTATTCAAATGTATTAACAGTTTCTAGACAATGTTACAGTATTGTGCGTTTTTGTTACAGTTCAAATATATACAAAAGGTTTTATGAATTCACGAGACATGGGTTTAATCTCTTGGCTTATCAGAGTGATAAGGCTCCCCGATGTAACAAAGCTTTTTTTATATAATTTTAATTCCTTACTATATATGGCACTTTTATACTTGCCATATATCTCTCAGTATTTTATCAACATTGTTAATAAAAAAGTGTAAGGTAATTTATCCTTCAATAGTGCAATATATGACATGAGTGCACAGTGCAATAATAACATTGCCCCGACTAGATATGCAACGTTGCCCCATATATTTGGTGCTTAATTTAACTTTGATATAGTTTTGAGCTTCTAAAAACAAGTAAAGTCTTTAAATATAGGATTGTATATGGCAATACAGAACTGCTCTTGTTTATCGGTTATTGTCGTCAGTTTCCATTTTAGTGAACACATTTTTTAACCCATTCTTTAACTTATATGTATATTCAAGGATAGACATTAATTTTTATAAGTCGACTGTTCCACCAGGTATAGAGATGCGATATTCTCACAAATAAATATAATAATAATGATAATAATACATAAAGACAATTACCCAGTACTCAACTTTTTTCATATACAAGTACCTGTAGTATTCTTTGAGAATTGATAAAAGTTGCTTATTTATCTTTAAATTATAAATAAAATGTGATTTTCTGATTTTAAAGTTAAGTTTTGTGGAAATTCTTTGTGTAACTTTGATTTGTAGCTGACAGACACAGACAGAGACAGACAGACAACAATTAATGTCAATCCCTGAGATCTATAAATAAATTCATAATAATACATAAAACTAGATCACATTGGTTTAAATAAAATAAGCATGATTACAGTTCATTGTGAATTAGAAAACAAAGGATCATTAATTTTCTTCATTTTAAAGACTGAAGTAAACGATATACTGTACACAAGTGAATAAAATTGGCATTTTTCCTGTCTTTTGGAGTATCAGCTTGATATCTTTTGGCATTATTGTCACTGATAACATTATTAGTAAATAAATATACAATATTATCAAAATACAATGATCATCTGTATTGTCTAATGAATATAGTGCTTCTACTGCTAAAATCATACTAGTTCTAGAATCACTCATTGTCTAATAAGTGAAATTATTTATTTACTTTTTACAATCACCCCTTAAATTATCGTTTCATACAGATGTTTAGATTCATTCACAAACATCCTTCATGTGTACAGAAAAGCAGGCTACTCTTTAAAGTTACTGACTAGATATACTCAGTCAGATTCATTTCTCGTCTTCAAAAGAAAGTACATAGATGGAAACTCGTTTCTACACAGATGAGCGTCTCCAAGTCTCTAAATTCATTGCACCACTGGACAGAATGACATTAGTCTAGGGAAGTAGTGAACAAAATCAAGATATAGGACAAGATATAGTGGAGGAGGAGCTTCTTGAATCCTCAGAAAGGTAAAGAGTGGAAAAATATGTCAGTCAGAGACACTTATGTCAACTTGAGTACATCATACTGTGTAGTGTGTACACAAATACTCCCCCATTGCCGTGAATGTTAAGTAAATCTTCAGCTGTAAAAGATCAAACGTAAATACTCAAGGTTGATTAGCTGCAATAATATAAACTGTCAGGAATAATTTGATGTTGGGAACTTGTTGAATAATCTACAATGTATGATGTGAGAGTAACAAGTGTGAACCCTCTTAAATCCAGGTTAGAGCAATGCTAGACTGTGTTCAGGGACATTCAGTAACCCCTTTACATGCTTAGTACAGTACCTATTGATTGAGAGGTTCTAAGAGGTGAATGATCGTCCAAACGGCCAATAAGCCAACATAAGATGAAGATGATAATAAGGTGAAACATAAGTTTAATAGCTTTTATCAGTCTGAACTGGAGTATAAAGTAGACGTTCTTTTATGATGATTGCCAAATATTTATTGAATAATATAGATTTTCACAATTGCAATTTATTCTCTTTAATTTTATGTCCCTTCACACTCTATCTTCTGAACCCAACCAGATCTTTTATGGTGCAGTACACCAACGAGATTTAATAATGTGATAATTTCAATGGTTTATTCTTTATGGCAACAGAGAACATTTTACAGCAGTTTTAGTATATTGTTGTTGTGACTATGTAAAGAACTGATGCTCAAATACTTCCATACCAGCAATCCCTTCTTACTTAATGCTATGTATCCCTCACACAAACATGATATACCAAGACACAGGCATACATTTTTCATCAAACACCCAGTTGGAATACACATTCAGGAGAAGGGATATTTCCTCAGGATAACAAGCATGAAGAAGGCATACATTCCAAAGCAGGTTTAAGTTTCAGAGGCAAGCAGACAGACTCTCAAGCATACGCTCCAGGAACCGAGGGACGGAGACTTAAGGTTCTCTTGTCGGACCTGGACGGATATAGACTGGACGGAGTGCAGGGTTCGGGCGTCTCATAGGATGGGACGGCAAGTTGGACAACAACATTAAGATAGGCTACAAGCTACCTTCACTATATTACAATAATGGCCTTAGAATACAAGTCTATATATATATTACAATACTCTAATTTGCAAAGGACAAAATAATTTATAGATAAATGACTAGATTAAGTACAAGGTAAAACTGCCATAGCAAACACGACTATGTACACTCGCAAATGTAGAGCAAAAGACACGTATATGACTAGATTAAGTATGTAGGTGACTTAGTAATCCATATTTTACCTGTAAGAATTTTTGGAGGGGAGACTTTCTCTTTTATTGTCATTATTATTTAATTCATGAAATTCTCCCAGTTATCTTCTATCAGACAAAATAAAGTGTATGGTATAAACCCAATATTGTTTTTAAAAGTTATCACAAGTGTTAAGTTATTGGCTTTGTGCATTTAGGAGCAACGTATTTAAGCTCGAGAGAAGTGTGTGAACATTCTCCACCAATATGAGGCTATATGGCACAACGAATTCAGGTGTTCCCACAAGTTATAGCTAGGCTGGGTAATGGCTGGCTGCCGGACACTCACTCACTCGCTATGAGATTGATATAACCAGCATATACAACCAACTTTAAGAGAGAGAGTTTGCCTATATTGTCTTGATGACACACCTAGCTCTTCCACTCTATGAGAAAATAATAGTACTGTACTGCCTACACTAGTTCTAATGATGTAATCCCAAGTGAAGAAATAAGTAGGACCGAGAAAATAATTATTGTGGTTAAATCCTTCTTTTTCAAAGAACGAAGAAGAAATATTTAAATTATCTCACAAATTGCATTAGAAGTTTTTATATGTTCATGTAAGGATTTTCTGGTTTCAAACTGAGGCATGCAAGATTTCTTGATTTTTCACTTGACGTGTATTTTTGTTTCAGCTACCATTCACTTTGCTACAAGATACACTTACTGAATACCTTCTATATCAAAGCATTCTTCTTATTGTCTTATGATTCCTATATAACGTTATGTATAGGTAATTTTACAGAACGTCCAAGTCAATAAAATTGTCAAAGTCAAGATTGGCATCAAGTAAGGACAAAGTTTTAGCTTCATCCCAACCAGAGTCAGGACCCCAGCAAGCATGAGCATCTTGAACTAACACGGGCGCTGCTGACGGTTCCAATGGTGTGAGTTGTGTGAGGCTACTACAAAATGTATTGATGGAGGAGAACTCCCCATAACCTCCTTTATTCCAGTTCCCACTACCATTAATATCGAGGGAAGAAGTAAGAGAGTCTGCATCATCGTTGGAGGCTTCAGAGTACTCAGGGCTAGTGAAGAGATCCTCCTCTACCCCAAGTGATGCAGGACTGAGCTCTAAGGATGGTAACGTAGGTGATGTGTTGGTGGTAGAGGTGGTGATGGTGACAATCTGCTGGTGTTGTTGAGAACTCGGATGGTCATTGATGTGGATATGATGGTGGTGAGGAAGATTTTGGTGATGCTGCTGGTGCTGCTGTAGAGATTGTGTCGAGGAGGTGGTGGTGGTGATAGTGGAGGGGTAAGTAGATGGGTCTCCTGTCTGACTGAGATCTGTCACTAATTCTTGAGCTCGACATGGCCAAGACTCATCATGAACTTCTTCACCAAGTATAGTAGACCAGACTAAGTCATCACGTAGGTTACTGCCTGCCTCGCCAAAATCCCCATCCACTTCAACACCTGAAAAAAAAATGTCTTAATTGAGTTTACTGGTAATTTAAAGCAATAAAGCTGTATATCTCTGTAAGGACAAACATCAACCTTTGGGGATCAATAATTATCTGATTTAAAAAGTTAATTACCAAAGAAATTATCGTCTTAGAGATCTTCTAATACTGAGCAATCTAGCTTCAGAGAATATTGATTTAAATTGTATACAATATGTACAGTCAGTCAAGTGAAAACTGTGACCAAAATCTTCGGGTGTATGGAGACATGACTAGCTTGCTAGCCGGTGGGAAGCTGGAGACAATTCAGTACAGTAATGTGAAAGAGTAAGATTTCTTTCCCTCTGACCTTCTTGGTTGAAGTGTAAGGTAGACCGTGGAGGAGGTTTGTTGGATGGTGGAGGCATAAAAGCTTGGGCAGGTTGAACCAGAACCTTTATCCCAACTTGTTGGTGAAGCATCTGTTGTTGTTGTTGTTGTTGGGCGTGAGTGGGCGGTCTTCTGTTTCTTTTAGTCTTGGATGGTGGAGGAAGGGTTGGTCGTACTGGCCGTCGTTTCTTGAAGACCCCATCGACAAGAGACTCGGCGTACTCTGGGTCAAGCCTCCAGAAGCCACCTTTCCCTGGTTCATCCTTACTTCGAGGCACCTTCAGGAAACACTTGTTGAGGGACAGGTTGTGGCGGATGGAGTTCTGTGGAGACAAAACAAAATTATTAAAAAATATGATATGATGCAATGTGACCTCTGTTCAACAGACAATATGGGAAAGTGTAGTCTGTTAAATCGAAGTCTGTTAATGTGAAACTTTTATATACAGTAATGGATTATCAGAGGTGTAAAAAGTACCGGACTGTGTTACTCAAGTAAAGGTATTGTTCCATTAGTAAAAGGCTACTCAAGTAGAAGTAAAAGTATCCGAAGCTCAATGTACTCAAGCACTCAAAGTAAAAAGTAGCAAAAGAATTATTAATCATCTCAAATATCAAAATAAATCCACACTAAATTATATAAAAAATAGTTAATTAAATATAAAATTAAAAAACACAAAGCATTACACATGTTTATTTACAAATCTTTCTATTGAGATTTATCAATAACTTATTCTCAAAATTATGGCTGTCCAATTGGGATCTTTTGGGCCTAAATATAAGCCCAGCATGACTAAACAGATGCTCACAAGCAGCAGACGTGAAGAAACGCTTGTAATTGGTTGGCTTCAAAGTTTATCCTGTGTCCCATGATTGGATATTTAAAACTACTAGCCTACTGTTTGGGGCATGTAACGAGTAACAATTTTTGTTTATTCAGTTGTGTTGGAGTAAAAGTATTAGAATACCGTACATAAGTAAAAGTACTGAGAATTTTGAGTATTTTTTTTAAGTAAATACTGTACCCTGTACCCAAAAATGTTACTTGAATACAGAACTCAAGTAAATTTACTTCGTTACTTTACAACTCTGCTATTAAGACAATAACTTATCAAAATTTCAACATTTCGACCACAGATCCTCAATCAGCGTGTCGAAGACGACTTATACTGAGGTTTTGAGCAAAATTAATTAAAGATCTGTGGTCAAAATATGAAATTCTGATTAGTAAGTGTCCTCATATCAATTAGCATAATTAATGATCAAAAGTTCATGATCTACGGTACTATTAACCTCGGATTATATATCAGTTGTATGTCCATTAAATTGAGGTTTTACTGTGTAGTGGATTTCTCCCCTACAAACGCTGTTTGTCGCTGCGTAGCCGACCCGCGAATTCCCCAGTGTATGCCTCTTGGTCTGGGTCAACCAGCGCCGCCATACATCACGGAGGTCAACTACTAAGCCACGCCTACCCCCCGCTATTTAAGACCTGACCTCGTGGTGATCTCTCCCTTTCTACCTACACCAACCAGCCAGCAACACCTCCTCCTCCTCCTGCCTGGCGGTCCTCGCTCCCGCCGGCGAGCATGGCGACCCACAAGCTGGTCCTCCTCTGAGCACCCTCACCAACCAGCTCTCTCTACATCACGCTTGTAACCATGCTGCCTTCCCAGCACCAAGCTGCATTGTACATCCAATACAACATGTATACATGAGAGCACATTGTGAGTTTCCTTTCTCCATCCCATCCTGAGTGTGAACCAAACAATCCCATACCCCACAACTGTACATCTTAAATAACATAAATAATCACACATTGAGAGAGTGTTTGCGTTAAGTTGATGTGACTAATAACCTTCACAACCTCCACTGCCGCTACTACTGTATGATCAAACTGACATTATGATAGTCACAATAGTTCTCTCTCTCTCTCTTTCTCTCTCGCTATCTGTATATCCCCTTCTCTCTCTCTAGCATGAACTTTAATATACCAACAGCACGTCACGGTTAAACTAGTGACATTTTGTTCCCCTCTGGGACACGTCAGCACAGCCAAACCTCTTGTTCCTCTTCCTCCTTTCATGTTGTTCTTCCTCCTCCCTTTCTTCATTTTACCCTCTTCCTCCCTCACTCATCCTCTGTGTTCTCCTCCATTCTCCCCCATCAATCCAGACCTTCTTCCCTTTCCCAATCCTTGCTTCCCCTCCTCCTCCCCCCTCCGCATTCCCAGCCACCCTCTCCACTTCCCTCCTATCTCCCCACCCCCCTTTCTTGTGCATGACACCACCACCCGGATATAACGAACAGCTAGGTCCAAGTTATATCATCTCACACGGAAACAAACACCACCCTTCCTGTCAACATCACTTAATCAATCAGCAATGACTCCACATAGTAAGAATGATATGATTACATGTCTATAACTACCCTGGTGCCCCTAACAAGCAGTTCCGCGGTATTGATTGGCCTAGAAGTGGGTGGTGGGCCATTTTGGGGTTGCCAGCGAGTGCCAGTCGACTTATTTCGTTTGGGTCTCGCTAACTCCTTCACTGCTGTACCGGGAGCCTCAAGTAATAATAAGAATAATAAATAATAATAATACTTATTCGATAAAATCATACAAGTATACAATTGGTTTGGCATGTACTGTACAATACTGTAGACAATACAGGTATGCAGTTTAGCATGTACTGTATATAGACAACGCAGGTATACAGTACATGTAGCCCACGATGGTATACAGTTTAGCATGTATATACACAACGCAGGTATACAGTGCATATAACCCACGATGGTATACAGTTTAGCATGTATATACACAACACAGGTATACAGTGCATATAACCCACGATGGTATACAGTTTAGCATGTATATACACAACACAGGTATACAGTACACATAGCCCAGGAAGGTATACAGTTTACATTATACCGAGACAGTGTAGGTAAACAGCAATAGTAAACTTTGACCAAGAATAGTCGATAGAGCCATTAGATAATTATTCCCAGTTGGGCTAAATGTTTTTACCCCGAATTTTCTTCCTAACTTGGGATATAAGATCGTATTACAGTTCAACATTAACACCTATTATTAGCGTGGATGTATACTGAGACTTAAGGTTAATTAAATACGTCTACTGAATACCTGTCAGGAAAGACTATGAACATACAGCAACAAGAAGTACTTGTAAGCACTATGGTCAGACTGTCAGCACTATAATCAGATTGTCAAGACTATTAACAGGCTGTCAGGCTGATGATTCAACCCTTAGAGGACGATGATGTAATCCATTGACTTTTATGATTTACCCTTTTGACGATAATAATTTAATAACAGGTGTATCAGTAAAATATATATAAACAAAACACAGCCATATTTCGTTTACAAGTGATAATGACGTATGTAATTGACCTTTTAATTGTTCACGTGAGTTTCTGTCTCTTAATACTCCATGTTTAGCTCGTATAAAAATGAATGTTTATTATGGTAGGTGACGGGTTTATGAACATCTGTGTAGTCTGTATTCTGTACCTGTTGACCCCATAAACGTGTGATGGTATGATTGTAACACCTAACACCTGTACACCAGAGGTCGTCAGCCGATACTCCACAACATGAGTAACACGATTATTTTGTTGTTGTACCTCACTAGAAATATTAGACTTTACAAACTGGATCAATTTAGTCACTTCACAAAGACTGCGGCAAAATACTGACGGAATTAAACTTAAAATAGTTTTGTAAATAGATAGGTTTTCTCTTCTCGGCGAGGATATCAAGGACAAATTGAACGAATAAATCTTTTAGCTTCCGGATTCAGATGCAGATTATCAAAGATTTATAAGGTTCATTGTTTTTCCACTTGGAGTTAAGAAAATGTATCTACTTATGATCGTCTCAACGTAATTTGGACGCCTATTTCTATAACCACTGTTGTGCCTTGGGTCAAATGAACTAATGTGTTTCCCGTGGATAGCACAGATGGGTGACACTGGTACATGACATAGCTGGGTGACACAGGTGGATGACACAGGTGGATGACATAGATGGGTGACACAGGTGGGTGACACAGGTGGATGACAAAGGTGGATGACTTACCTGCCAGGAAGGGTCGGCAGTCTTGTAGTAAGCAAAGTTCTCCTTGATCCACTTGTATATGGCTGAGAGAGTCATCTTGTTCTGGTTCTCCTTCATGGCCATGCCTATCAGCGCCGCGTAGCTGTACGGCGGCTTGACGCTGCCGTCCACCGAATAGTCGATGGTGTCTACCTTTTCCTGGCCCTCCGCCTTCCTCTTCTTGTCTGAGGAGGGCGTCTGTGAGGCCTGGGTGGGGGGCAGGGGGTTATGTGGCTGTGGAGAAGCTGGGGGTGTAGGGGGCGTGGCTAGGTGGGGCACCATCCCCCCCATGTCGAGGGAGTGTAGCCAGCTGAGGGAGGTGAGGTCATCCCCGCCCCCTGTGTTACCCCCAAATGTATTGTTCTTACTGTCGCTACTGACAGTGCTGACGTCGCTTTTGTAGTCACCAAGACCGACAGGTGAGACCACACTGCCGCTCCTGCTGGGGTGTCTCATATCCTCAGTACTGAGAGAATCATCCCTATCGATGGAGACACTGACGGGGCGCCGTGGTGCAGTACTGGTGGTGCGGTTGCTAATGACAGGTACGGGTTTGTTCCTGCCCACCGTCGTGAAGTGACAGAAGGCATTGTTGTTCCCCCTCTGGACGGCTCCTTCTGGGGGTGTCGTCTTGTGGTGGATGACGGTGGTGAACGGGTGGTGGTGGTGAGAGGTGAGAGCAGATCCCTGCATCCTGATGGTTGAGTCCCCGCCTCTGACGAGCACCTGGACGCTCTCTCTACCTCCTGGCTCATACATCGAGTCCTCCATGCACTTCTACTGCCCTTCAGGAGTACCCGGAGCAGGCATCGGGCACTACAGCGCTTCTACAGAATGTCAACAATCTTTCTACATATCCATCCTCTCTTCTGAAAGCTCTCAAACACTTACCAGACGCAACTAAAAGCTAGTAAATACTGTAGTTCTACACTTCCTTTCTTTCCCTAAGCATTTATGATGAGCGCCTCGCCTCACATGTATCCAATAGGTAAAAAGTCTTACACAGCCAAGAAACTTCTACTCCCTGACGACGGTGCAGCAGCATAAGGTGTTAAATCTCTTTATTCTCTCCTGGGCTGTCATCAAAGGATCTCTCAGTCAATGAATACACTCATTGACTGAATAACCCAACACAACCCCTAAATCCAATCGAATCTCTAATACCCAACCACTGTTCTTGATCCAGTCAGTCCCTCAGTTCCAATCAATTTCGTCTTCGTCTTCCAGCATCTATCCAGCTGAGTGAGGAATCTTCGTAAGTCGGGAATCTCATAAACAGACAGTATTTGTTTGTCTTTCTCTCGGATCTCCAATATTGCTTCACTACTTCGTTCGGAGGTTCGGTTCGGTTCTCTAAATCTATTTCAATCGCTGGTTCTCCTGGAGGTTCTGTTTACTTACTTCTATCTCTATTTCTATCACTGGTTCTGTCTTTCTATGTCGTCGGTTCTGCCTGGTTCGGTATAGCTGGTTCAATCTCAATACTGTTTCGGTGCTTCGATTCACTCACTCATGATTTGAGTTAATTAAAGCTTCAACTGGTTCTGCTTTAACGGATATCACTGATCTTGTTCGGGTTCTCTGCGGTTGGTTCTACAGTGGTTTTATGTCTGGTTCTATCGTGACTCTATGTCTGGTTCTATAGTGGTTCTATGGCTGCTGTTGTGTTCCCAGCTACATTTCTTAATTGAGTTTCCAATGCGGATTTCCAGCGGCGTTACTCCTGGAAAGAAAAATAAAATATTAATCATAGACTTGATGTCGACACATAGGTCATAGGTCGACACATGTTACATACTCGACATCGATACAGGATACATACTCAACCTCGACACAGGATAAATACTCGACCTCGACACAGGATTACATACTCAGAACGATCAAGCGGCTGTTTTATTCAGGGGAAAAATATTTAGCATCTACGTTTTGGAGAATCCATCTTTATGTACCAGCTAAATTCATCGTCTACTTCCATGTGTTTATATAGATATTATATACTGATATGTATTTAAGAGTAATAGTCAATGTATGAAACTTAAGGCCTTGAATTCTTAGTTTACAGAGAGAGATAGGGTCGGGGAGGGGGCGAGAGGGGAGAGGGAGACGGGAGGGAGATGTAGGGAGAGGGGAGACAACAAAAACTCTGGTGTGTAATCCGGATTTATTACCCGAACGCTCCCTCTCTCAATGTTTACACAGTGGCTTGTCAACAGGAGGTGTAGGGGTGTGCGATCGCATTTCATGGGTTGGTGGGCGTAGCTGGGTGAAGGTGATGTGTGGGGTAGGTGTGTAGGGGAGGTCGGGGCGGGGGGTGAGGAGAGGTGTAAAATGAAGCAATTTTCGTACACACACACACGTGCACCAGGGCGTACACGCCCGCCTCATAGACTTCAAAACGGATATATATATATATATATATATATATATATATATATATATATATATATATATATATATATATATATATATATATATATATATATATATTGTCCTACTACATGTATACACGAGAGAGAGCGAGATAAACACGGTGTTATGATTGACGCAATATTACGCGAAATCTGGATAAATACGTCAGTCACAGAAGTTCTATTTTTAATTAACAGTCTCTTGCTAGTTCCTATACGCTTTAACAGTTAATTCCTACACCTTGACAGTTAGTTTCTACACTTTAACAGTTAATTCCTACGCCTCGACAGTTAGTTTCTACACTTTAACAGTTATTTTCTACGCCATACCAGTCATTTTCTACACCTACGCCATGACAGTCATTTCCTACGCCCAACAGTCACTTGCTATACCTCTACAGTTAGTTCTTACGCCCAACAGTCGCTCCCTACACATAAGTCACTTCCTACGCCCAACAGTTAGTTCCTACGCCCAACAGTCACTTTCTACGCCCAACAGTCACTTCCTACGCACAACAGTCACTTCCCACACACAACAGTCACTTCCTACGCCTCTACAGTTCGTTCCTACGCCCAACAGTTAGTTCCTACGCCTAACAGTCACTTCCTACGCCCAACAGTCGATTCCTACGCCCAACAGTCGCTCCCTATGCCCAACAGTCACTTCCTACGTCCAACAGTCACTTCCTACGCCCAACAGTCACTCACTTCCTCACTTCCACGCCCAACAGTCACTTACGCCCAACAGTCGCTCCCTACACACAACAGTCACTTCCTACGCCCAACAGTCGCATCCTACACAACAGTCACTTCCTACGCCTCTACAGTTAGTTCCTGCCCAACAATTAGTTCCTACGCCCAACAGTCACTTCCACTTCCTACGCCCAACAGTCACTTCCTACACACAAACAGTCACTTCCTACGCCCAACAGTCACCCACGCCCAACACACTTCCTACGCCCAACAGTCGCATCCTACACACAACAGTCACTTCCTACGCCTACAGTTAGTTCCCGCCCAACAGTCACTTCCTACGCCAACCAGTCACTTCCTACGCCCAACAGTCGCTCCCTACACTCAACAGTCACTTCCTTCACACTACAATCACTCCCTACGCCCAACAGTCACTTCCTACGCCTGTACATTTAGTTTCGCCCAACAGTCACTTCACGCCCAAACAGTCACACAACAGTCCTTCCTCCGCCCAACAGTCCAACACACAACAGTCACTTCCTACGCAGTCGCTCCCACACACAACAGTCACTTCCTACACACAACAGTCACTTCCTCCGCCCAACAGTCGCTCCTACACACAACAGTCACTTCCTACGCCCAACAGTCGCCCCTACACACAACAGTCACTTCCTTCACACAACAACACTCTTCTTCCACGCCCAACAGTCACTTCCTACACAAAGTCACTTCCTACCCCCAACAGTCACTTCCTCACTCCTTCACACAACAATCACAACAGTCACTTCCTACGACTCTACATTTAGTTTCTACAAACAGTCACTTCCTACACACAAGTCACTTCCTTCCCACACAAGTCACTTCCTAGCCCAACAGTCACACACAACAGTCACTTCCTTCACACAACAATCACTTCCTACGCCCAACAGTCACTTCCTACGACTCTACATTTAGTTTCTACGCCCAACAGTCACTTCCTACACACAAGTCACTTCCCCACCCAACAGTCACTTCCACACACAAGTCACTTCCACGCCCAACAGTCGCTCCCCACACACAACAGTCACTTCCTTCACACAACAATCACTTCCTACCGTCACCACACTTCCTACACACACAGTCACTTCCTTCACACAACAATCACTCCTACGCCCAACAGTCACTTCCTACACACAAGTCACTTCAAACAACACACAACAGTCACTCCCACGCCCAACAGTCACTTCCTACACAAGTCACTTTACGCCCAACAGTCGCTCCCACACAACAGTCACTTCCTTCACACAACAGTCACTTCCTACGCCCAACAGTCACTTCCTACACACAAGTCACTTCCTACGCCCAACAGTCACTTCCTACACACAACAGTCACTTCCTTCACACAACAATCACTCCCTACGCCCAACAGTCACTTCCTACGCCCAACAGTCAGAGGTGTATCCAGGGGGAGGGGATCCTGGGGGTCCGGACCCCCCTTTTCATCAGAAAGCGCCAATACTTTTTCTTTAATGCAGTATTGTACTCAGACATTTTTGTATAGTAAAACGTAAGTACTACTGACCTCAGAATATCTCCCAATAGCAAGTGCACATGGCTTCAAAATGGCCTCAAAAGGCCTAATATTGGTCAGACTTCAATAATTTTATTTATTTATTTATTTATTTTGAGGGGGGGAGGGTCTGTAAGCCCCCCCCCCCAAAAAAAAAACAGCTGGGTGGGCTTGCTTTGCTCCCCCTACCCACAACTTCTTGGACCCCCTTTGATATTCCCGAATCCGCCCCTGTAACAGTTACTTCCTACGCCCAACACTCACTTCGTACGCATCAATTCAATTTCAATTTCAATTGTTTATTCCTTGATAGAGGAAGCGGGATCCTAGTGCTGTCACTAGGTACCCCTGTACAATCGTACGCATCCACAGTTAGTTCTTACGCTTCATCAGTCACTTCCTACACCTCTTGAGCCGAAAAAGAATCTTTAAACTGAGAAGAGAATTAAAACAAATCAATCTAGAAGAACAGAGAAGAAATAGAATATAATAGAGCCAGGCTTTAAGAGTAACGTTTGAAGCTAGAAAAATATTAATTAAAATAGAGATTGAGAATAAGTAAGAGTAATAATATATATAATGGTTGCCCCTCGTGTAACGCGGCTGGCCGAATATATACTTAACGTCACAATAGAGAGCATAAGGATAAACACAATAGCAACCGTATGAATAAGCACAATAGAGAGTCCAACGATAAACTCAATAGATCCCAAAGATGAGCCCAACAGAGCCAAGGAGGTTCTATTAGAGTCTGAGAATAGAGCCATCATAGAGAAGAATTATTCCCCACAAAACATATGTGAACTAAGAGAACCGAAAGTAAATAAAATATGACTATACAAACGAAGGTGCAGGGAGCGTCGCGCCCCCTGAACTCCAGAGCTCATTGGTTGGTGAGGGGACATTGTAACAGCCAATCAGCACCCGCCCTCACCTATAGCCCAGGGAGCGCGGGGCTGAGTGACGCTTTCATCCACACACAAATTTCAGTACGATAACCTCTATTGTTAACTGGGAAAATGGAAATTAATAGCCTCAGTGTCTATTTAACGCCATATTGTCTCTTTAGGGTGGCTTTTTATGCAAGTCGTTGGATATCTTCGCCCCTAACCGGATTAACAATTAATTAGTATAGTCTCAATGTAATTTTGGCCACCATCTTTGTTTTGGAGTTTAAGCGATCAAGTTAAATACATTCTGTTTCCTTCATGGAAATATCTTAAAATACGATCCTTTGAGAAAGAATAGATATGTGTGTGTGTGTGTGTGTGGTAGATTCATTGAAATAGTTTATTATTATCTCCTCTTCCTCCTCCTCCTCCTCCTCCTCTCCTCCTCCTCCTCCTCCTCCTCCTCCTCCTCCTCCTCCTCCTCCTCCTCCCTCCTCCTCCTCCTCCTTCCTCCTCCTCCTCCTCCTCCTCCTCCTACTTTATCTTTCTTTCTCTCTTATCGCTATGAGTTTATTTTTTATTCCTTTTCGTTCCTTCCCGCCAAGACATTTTCAGTTCACTTTCGTTATTTCTAAGACAGAAAAAAATAGTTCACATATGAATTATACTGAAACTCACGCTTAAAAAAGTTCTTTATCTCGTGTATATATAAATCATTACAGTGTGGCTCAGGTACAAGTATTTCACAGAGACAATAAATATTCTCAGCACTGACCGCCCAATCCTGCCCAGCATCCTCTTTATATAAACCGAATTACAGTATATATAATCTAGAGTAATTTTGGTTGTTTGGTTAGTTCTTATCGCTTGTGAAGTAAAGGATTGCGTAGTCCTGTTGTATACGTGGTATTTTTGCCAACATGAACGAACAACCTCAGAGCCTCGCAGTATTTGTGGTGTAACCGACCCGCGACATGTAAACAAACATCACAAGCTAATGGAAAATAAAATCTATCTCTCTATATATGTATATTTATAAATTCCAGAAATACAGACCTGAGAAATAAAGTTAAAAATAAACCATTGGTATTAGGGAAAATTGTGATGTTATTCGCTAGCATTGGACGGCAAACTAGTGAAGGATGTGTCAGCGTTCATCTCGATTAGAACACACGCTCTTATG